ATCTATCTATCTATCTATCTATCTATCTATCTATCTATCTATCTATCATATACATCATATACACTTGTTTCTGAAGATGATAACCTTCTGACCCGGGCTGTTATGAGGACTCTTCGTCTGCAGGGTTTAAACTATGGCCTCCATGAGATGAGAGTAATCTTTGGTCTTTGAAGTGGTATTATTTTAATGATGTCTTTGAATCACTCTCTCTTCCCTCCCCGTCTCTGTGTCTTCAACACTGCTGCACAAGGCCCCTATCCCTGCTGCCTTTGATGAAAACCAGACCACTGACCTAATGCAAAGTCATTACCGCTCACTAACAAACTACCCTGATGCCTTTCATTACCTCCATAATCACTCACACAGCTCATCGGTACACACTGTGAGATACAGCGAGGTAAAGAGGGCACACACACACACACGCGCGCGCACACACAAAGACCCGTTTGAACTACGTATGATACCAAAACAGACACACTCACAGACAGAGGTGCTTGTCAGTATAATACCGGCTTTGTGCTCTCGCTTTAGCCCCGCAAGAGCTGCTTAGGTCAAACACTGGAGCAGTAGGCTATGTCTGTTTTGGTATCTGTGTGTTTCAGTGTGTGCGCGGTGTGGATTCATAAATAGACTCACTGTTTTCCACTGCAGCTCATTTTTCCTCCCCATATATCCCGCGGCCTTAGATTCGGACTTTCGCCCGGGCAGCATGCACCTGGGGAGATAGGTCTGGCCCCCATGTTGTCGTTTCTTCTGCTGGCAGCTGTCTGCGGCCACAGCTCAGCCTGTTCGGCTGTACCAGTAAAGCCTCGCAAAGCACTGTTTTTCACGAGGGATCGTGTGAATAGTCAAATACATTTGAAACTTATCGTTGATCTAAATGAGCTGAGGCCTGAAGCAGCTGCTGTATACAAGCTGCATCATACATCCATCTTCCTATGGACAGATGGCCAGTTGATTCAGTTTAGTTTTATATTTATAAGACTTATGACTAAATGTGCTATCATGCTTCAAACAAAGGCATTTATCTTCAGTCTCACATTGATTTCTCACAGTGAAGTTCTGATTTTTCTTTTTTAAAATTAAAGTAGGCTCTAAATTGTTAATCAGTCTAATAATTCGACCTGGGCCTAATTTGACTTGTTACGTTGGTCCCATTAAAGTAAAAGCTTCTGTTTCAACAACAAGAAGTTACCTGGACATAAGCAGACCCACAGATTTTCAACAGCTGGCCATTACTGGCTCTTCCGCTGAGACTCAGAGACACCAGTTTGGTTCAACTGTTCAATTATGTGTACTGTCAGTGAGGAAGATCATCTGTTGGTTAATGATTTTGTTCAAAGCAGATTTTCATAACTTCTAATGTGACTCTGGACAGACATGTCTTTGCTAGAAAACAAAAGCAAAAAACGGATTAATTGAAAAACAGGCCATAAAAAGGATCCGGTCACTGGCTTCAAACCATTGTTTTTTCGTGGAAATTTGGAAGGATGTATATGGAAATAGTTCATTAACTGTCAGTTCGCCCACTCTTTTCTATGTATTATTATTTCTCTCCACAGTGTGCACACACACAGGTCCAATTAGGCCAGAGCCCGGTAAGATGGAGGTGTGCTGCTGTAGATGATTAGAGGTGTCATTTATCACAATGTTCTTTCCTGCTCATTTACAGCCAGTAAATGTTGCCTGGCAGAGCCACGCCGATTTCTGTTACTTTGGAGATTCAGCCCGATAGAATCTCCTCAAAATCGATTATCACCGCAGCTGGAAATAGAAGCGGAAAGGTGGAGACACTTAAACCAGGCAAAAGAGGAAGGTGCGGAAGGTGTGTTAACGTATGACCAGCAGAAAGAGAAAGAGGGGCGGGGGCGATCGGCGTGACAGAGAGCCGGAAAACAAAACTGAATTCTGAGGGGTGAAAGAGAAATTCAAGCAAAGCTCACTAGGCCTGAAAGTTTATCACAGAAACTGTCCTTTTTTTTCTTTTTTTGCTCGAGGTGAGACGGAATTTGCTCACCACCGACTTCCAGGGAGGCGAACATAAAATCAATTTTGTCAATTTCCTTGTTAGTGGAATCTAATTTTCTTTTTCTTTTTTTATTCCTATTTCTTTTAGGGAAATTCACTATTTTGTTGTCGCTTAACAGTCTGACAGACGCATGACAGGTAGACAGTGTGTACCCTCGATGTAACTTTTAAATATCTGGCAAAAACAACAACAACAATATTATTTGTACACCCATGCGTGTAATCAAAGAAACAAGTGGGACAAAGTCGCCGCTCCAACAGTTTACAAACCTACCGTGAACGGCGGATGCCAAGTTGAGGAGCAGGAGCGCACAAAGGGCAATCGGCAGTTTGTTCTCCATCATCCGTCTCCTTTTGCTACACAGGAAGAGAATGATCAAACGAGCGACGTTTCCTCTCCACAGACTCTCTCTGGTCGTTCCGCGTTGCCCTGCCTGCCTGGCTGTCCGGTTGCAGACTGTCAGCGATCCGCGTAAAGATCCTCTGGCACGGCTCAACACCCACTGCCGGGACGCAGGGGGGGTGGGGGGGGGGGCTGTGTCCGCGTGTGCGTGGCTGGCCGGGCTGGAGGAGGAGTGAGTGCGCTGCTCGCAGGGCTCTCTGGCTCCCACCAGAAGCAGTGCCACGTGTTCCTCGTTCAAAATAGTCAATGCGCCTGACTCCCGTGCCGTGACGCGTGTTCGGGAGAAAGACTGACACCTACCCACACAGGACAGAAAAGGCGCGGGGATCAGTAGGCTACGCTGCGTGCGTCACAGCGAACGGACAAAAATCCACATCCACGGAGATCATGTTGACCTTTATGAGGGTCCTACAGTCTGAGACGTGTGATTTAAAGTGTCCAAACCCACACAAGGCTTTTGAAAAGCTTGTCTATCTTGTCTTCGTATCTGTAAGTTAAATGATTGTGCATTTAATTTTACATAACAACGCACGTGGAGGCATTGGTTTGTCTGTAATAAATCAATGACTTTACTTTGGCCTCCTAGACACATATTATCATTGAAAGCCTTGGGAAGCAATTTAGTAGTTTGTAAAATGTGAGAGATAACACTTTGTGTTTGCATCTGAAATGTTAAAGTCAAGCGTAAGCAAACAATGAGCAATAATATCCGTTTGTGTGGTTGATCATGTAGAGTTTAGGTTGTCCTAACTCGCAACTGTATGATGGAGCATATTTTGTGGTTCTAGACTCTTACAGTTCACTTTTGCTGTAATGTCGTCGTTTGTCCACACGGGGGAGCTTTTGTTCTACAGCTGACAAACGACAAGCGGCTGTGGACAAACAGGCACATATTACCGCTGCATACAGCCTACTGTACATACAAGAGTATGTGGTTACCTTTAGAATTCTCCACACGTGTTTTGACATTCTTGACGCTCATCTTTCATTGAGTATCATTGGTTTTAACTTTCATACTATTATGAATAACATTAATTGATAAGAATCATTTCCCCTTCCACGAGAATCATTCCGTTTTCAAGGTGAAAAACGAAAACAAAGAATATCAGCGAGGTTACTTCCGGATAAACTTAATTCTTCTTTCAGTAAAAAAAACACAACTCAAAGACTAACGCATGCAACCAGTACTTGATCATATGCACTAATGACGAATCGCATGGTTTTTAATTCAGCTAAACAGCCCAATAGCACAATGGGCCTTTACACATATGGTTTATTTAAAAAAAGAGGTTTGTACAATATGTAGCTACATGTCTTACACACGTTTTATGTTGTATGTAAATTCTCGAATATTTTTAATGTGTTTAATTGAATTCGTTTTTTCCATAGCCTAGTGCATATTTCTGTGCTAGGTGTTGGTATTTCCAACTATATTGACAAGTCCCTATACATACATCCGTCGTTATTTCATTGTGGCAACATTGTTGATATGCTTAATTTCATCAATAATAATAGGAGGATGCCACCTTGGGAGATGCTGCATTCACATGTTAATGCGAATGTTAGAGTTTAATGCCTACAGTTACAAATGATCCACTACAGTGTGACAACTGTTGTTCAAACAACACGATCTTCAATACATCAATGACGATTAAATAAATGGTCTTATGTCAACCATTTCAATATCCGCCTTCGATCTAAAGTGATCATTATAAATTACTTTGGTTTACACGTTGTTTTGGTGGTCCTCGGTCAGTTACGCGACGATCACGATGTTTCCAACAGTTCTTGAATGTAACAGAAAGATCCTAAGTGACAGAGCAGAGGCAGAAAAGCGGCAGGGAGCTGCCAGCATCGTCTCATACCGTCGCTGGACAGAAAGGTGTGAAAATGTCAGTTCTATGTAAATCATAGAGTGAACACAAGGATATTGCATTATTCTGATAATACTGTCACAGTTAAACTGTTTGCAGAGCTGCACCCCTTTGTTTTGTTTGGCAGTAGGGGCGCGTCAAGTTACGATGCTACATCAGCTAGCTTGGCGTTAGCTTATTGCAGCTAGCTGTTGCCATAGCTTTTCTCTATGAAGGAGGGTAGCTACAGCTAAGCTAGGCGAGCTAATGTTAGCTTTCCGGTTAGCCTCTCGTGTCATTCATAAACGGTAATAACAATATGTGTAATAACTTTCTTTTTTAAAACGGTGAACATATACTTGAGATGTCATTGCTTGGAATGAAAAGATCCACTCTTGCCGCCTCTGAACGTGATGTGATCGGGTCATTTGACAGCTCCGTGCCCAGGGAGATATGGAGACGCCGGGGAGAATAGCAGCTACACCGGACGCTGTGGACTTCACGGTGGAAAACGTAGAGAAGGTGAGCTTTGGCGTTAGTCCCCATCGCCAGTATGTCATTTTATTAGTTGCTGGTTCGCAAATTAAACGAGCTGTTGTGTTTCAGACTTGTGACTGTAGAGAAAAGAGCTCTGTTTACATTTCAACTAAAAATACGTACATTTTAAATCAGTAACAGACCAAATAAGCTAACGGTTTTATGTGTTTGTTGATGGTATGAACAAGCAGTCAGACGGAGGCATACATAAGGCTGTAACTCGCATGTTTTTTGACAGTCTCTTTTGCTGTAAACACACTAAAACAACAGAAGAATGCTCATTTTGATTGAATGCATTTGGGCTGCGTGCGTGTGGGGTGGGTGCGCGCGAGCGAGCGCGTGTTACACGGCTGTGTTGACTGCCAAGTTACTGTGATGAGTCCCCTGGCTGGGTGGCTGCAGACTGGACATGAGAGGATGGGTGGGGAGACAAAGGAGAGAGGATGAAGAAGGAGGGAGAAAGGTGCACAGCGCAGCCCTGACGTGATGAGCTGGATGGGGGGATGAGGTGGAGGAAGTGCCAGTAAAGGGAGAGCTAGAGGTGAGGAGGTTGGCGTTGCAACAGACATGATTAAGGGCAGGTCTGAGAGAGAGCAGCATATTCCTGTGGGGGAAATGGTCTGACGTGATGCTGCTTCGGGTGTAATAACAGAGGAGGGTGAATGGCGGTGTGCGTTTCTTTGGGTTCAGACTGCTGTCAGTGGCTTATTAGTTTTTCCTTAATTGACTGAAAATGAAAAAAGTAAATTTGACCCTTTTTCCTGTTGACCACATGAACTAAAGTCATAGAAAACCCCCCATGCATGTTTGATAATGCAAGTCCATTATATTTAATTAATGTTACAGGGAGGGTCATGAGATAGTTTCTATTCTTTGAAGCAGATTTTTTGTGAAAGCAGCATACACTTTAGGTTATCTATTTTTTATTAGATTTTACTGTGTTTACAGGTCCAGTTGCAATTGTAGTGAAGCTGTTCTCCGTGGAGTAACCCACACAATCAAATCCAGCGTGTAATCGTTCCTGTAAAATAATAAAAACTGAATGTGATGACTCATTTAATGGGTAGAATTAGAGCATACTTTAGTTTTTTTAATGAATAGATTCAAAGGTGTATCACAGCATCATTTTGTTTTTAAATAAACTTAAAATGCCATATGTTAGTAAATGTTAGTACCTGGTTAGATGTAACTTGGTTAGATGCCATAACATCTGGTTCCAGATGTTATGGCAGCTCGTATATGTGCTGAATACTGGGTGATGCAGTGTATCAAACAACCTCAGAAATGTTTTCTTTTATAAAAACAGATCCACCCACAGATAAGTGAGCGCTTACCACCAGCAGACCCTGATAGTGCTTATTAACATTGGGATTTTGGTGTGTGTGTGTGTGTGTGTGTTTGTTGCACACATGGCGGTGGAGATGATGGTTCCTGGCTCAGTCTTTCTGTGTCCAACAGAAGTTTCTTTGTACAGTGTTGGCTCTATCAGACAAAGTGCCACATTGTCACTGTCTTGGTGCATAATAAAGGGGTTCCTACAAGACTTTACAATATGAAGTTAGGACTTTAGAATTTTGTAAACCTCCCTCGAGCCAAATATTTTCTGTATTATCAGAAAGATGCTCAACATAGTCCTGCACATTGAAAATAATGACTCCCTCTTACCCAAACTACAACAACTCACTGCGTCCATAGGATGCCTGTCACAGGCTGTTCAGTCGCTCTTAGCTCTTGGGGTCTTGACGCACTCCTGCAATTTGAAAAACTGAGAGCAGCATTAGAATAAGATGTCTGGAACAGCAGGTGTTATGTTATTACTAAGACACTTTACAGATGATGAATCAGACGGCTGCCGTTCTCTGGAACAATGTGGGCCGCTTTAATCAGTCTGGGATGTATGAAGAAAAGGATGAGAGGCTTTCATATGATTATGAAAGATAGTTGCACGTGAGACGCTTTCCTGATGGTTATATTATAAACACAGACCCTAGGTATGAGTGTGTATGCCCACAATCCTGGAAGCGGTATCTTATCACCTATATGGTCCTTCTGTTTCGGGTGTGTGTGTTGCTGAGGTTTGGAAGTTGAAGCACTTTATGCGAGGAATTGTTCTCTGCTCTTGTGCCGAGATTTCATCACTATTGGCAACATCATGCTATTCTTAATTTCTATCTTGGCGGCGTGCTGTCAACAGCCACCCGCACACACACGCACACAAACCATTGTTCTTTGTTCCTTCATTAATTATCCTTCCCCTGCATGTCTTTGATTGTCTCAGTGCCGCGATAGGTCAGTGATGGAAAGATGCTTTCTGCATGGCAGTATGGCATTGCCCCTTTATTTTAATGCTTGTGTGTGTGTGTGTGTGTGTGTGGCCTTGTACTCATCAAGGATATTTGGAAAGGGAGATTTAAGTGACTTGTTTTTTTCCATCTGCTCTCATTAATCTAAATTAAAATGGGCTTTTTGGCTGTGGAAGCATTATAAAGTTGCAAATAGATCTCAGAAAGTATACTGTTGGTGCTCCCCATGGTTTGATCACTAAATACCTCTAAATATGTGCTCGTATGTCAGAGCAGTTTGTTAATCTGCCCGACTGAAGGGTATTTCCATCATTTCCATTTGAATACCTGCCTCCTTCTTTATGACAGAGGGTGACCTTTGGCATGCCACCCTCAGATAAAGTCAGGTGGACTTTGCAGATTTGTCTAGGTTATTTATATCTTCCTTCCTTCTTTCTTGACGTTTATTATGGGAACCAGGTTCCAGCAGTTTGTCCAAGAAAATGTTAAAATGTCTGCTGTTGTATGTAGGAAAGGCCAGGCAATAGTTTGTGCTGAGAAGATTAAAGCAGCAAATTGGACCGATTGCTCAGCCTCTTGTTCCTTAATAGGAAACCCCAGAAGGAGACATAACACCATTGGAGAGTGAATGAGGAGAGGTCTGCGGCAGCACAGTGGACTGTGGTTCGGTAATGATCTGCTGCTGCTTTGAACTCACACCGATATCACCCCGTGATTTACGGACAGGCAGAGTGAAGCTGACTAACAACCCAAACTAATGCTGGTGCCTTTCAGAAAACGCTGGGATATCTCAGCAGGATAGCAGTCTTGTTTCATGGGTTCTGTTGTTGTGTTTTATCCCCATTAGGCACAAAATGTCATTGCTTTTACTTCATGTGTTTTTTCCCTTATGGATATATGGCAGACAAGCCTTCCATCAATCAGTAGACCAGGGCTTCACACATGCTCCATATTCTGTACCTTTTTCCACATAGGGCTTTCAGCTCTTGTTCATTCATACAGATACAAATGCTGCCTTACTGTCTGCAGACAAACTGCTCATTAACACCCAGCCAGCTTTGTTCAGTTTCTTGTACAGTAAGTGGAGACAGAAAATTGCACTGGAGGACAGCAGACATGAAGGGAGCAGAACCCGATTCCTTGCTTCCAGTGGTATTGACATTGTATTGATGTTCTTTGTGTTGTATCATTGCACCCAGTGACCCTGGTTTCTTCACAGTTTGATTTCTCCCTTGTTAAACAGAGCAAGGCTTTGTGATGTGGAGAAGATTTGATCTGAGTTAAAGATCGTCAGCAGAGGGGTGAAATGACACTGAAACAGAAAAGAGTTGTAGAGATGAAATGTAGGGATTGATACACTGGTGGTGGACTTGTTTCTTTGAACTGTCTGCAGGGGTGGAATTCAAAATTCAGAAACTCGCTGCAGGGATTTTGCTTTTTCTTTGTTGCTTATGAGACACTTTGAGCTGGATGCCAGTTGTTTCGGCTCCGTGATTATACAGTGCATCCAAGGAAGATGGAAAAGGAAAATAGATACATTTTTGCAGAGCTGCTTCTAAAGCATTCTTGTGGCATCCGAGATGCCTTTTTAGTTTATGCTAATTTAGATGGTCTTTTTTTATTTTCCTATCTCTCACACTCACACATATACATTTGATCCTTTTGATATCTTTCCCTTTATGCACCCCTTCTTGGCCTCTCTCCGCACAAGTACTGAAATTATTCAGAGCTGTACGGAGTATTGTTTACAGGTCAATGCTTTTCTTTGTGCTAAGGGTTTTAAGAGTAATATGCCTGCTACATTTATGCATGCTTTTTTCCAAGGTAACCTGCTCTTTCTCACAAGCAAGATGTCTAAGAGCTGTGGTTGTTTTTATTTCTTGTTATTCACTGGCCTGTTTTTTCAGACTAGCGTTGCTCACAAGATCTTTGTCAATAGGGTTCAACTCCTGTGCCATTCCACCAGCCACAGATTGTATGAATTTGCCTGTGAGTCTTATTTTTCCTTTTTTCTCCATTTATAGGCTCTACACCAGTTGTATTATGATCCCAATATAGAAAACAAGAATCTAGCCCAGAAATGGCTAATGCAAGCCCAAGTCTCACCTCAGGCCTGGCAGTTTTGCTGGGCACTACTGAGCCCAGATAAGGTACAGAGTACACACACATACTGGCATAAAACACAAACAAAGGCTTTTTAAATCTGCATCTGCCTAATTTTTTGCCACAGGTGCCTGAAATCCAGTACTTTGGTGCTAGTGCTCTTCACACTAAGATCTCCAGGTACTGGTCCGACATCCCCACAGACCAGTATGAGTCTCTGAAGAGCCAGCTGTTCTCCCAGATTGCCTGCTTCTCCTCCGGCTCCAAGATGGTGCTGACCCGGCTGTGTGTGGCGCTGGCCTCTCTCGCGCTCAACACGATGCCGGAGGCCTGGCCTGGCGCCGTGGCAGAAATGGTGCGGGTGTTTCAGGAGGAGGGGGGAGGGGTGGATGGCCGGGCTCGCTGCCTGGCATTACTGGAGCTGCTCACTGTCCTGCCTGAGGAATTCCAGACCAGCCGCCTGCCGCAGTACCAAAAGGGACAGGTGTGTCCCTTCGTACCAGTCCTACTGGTGTGACCAACCTTCTTTAAGAAAAATCTTTTTTTTTTGTCTTTATATTTTCATTCGTTTTTTTCTGATCATAAATTTAATCAGAAAATGTTTTTGATTTGTAATGGCATTTATCTAAAACTTGTTAGGAAGCTAAGATCTTATTAGCATCTTTGTAGAAGCACTTCAGACAAAGGCAAAATGACCCTTAGCCACAAAACCGGAGGCGAATACAACATTACAGTTACGAAGCATCATAATTCTTGTTGTCGCTTCACGTCTAGGTCCGAGGAGCCCTGGGCCGGGAGTGGGGGTCAGTCTGTCCCTTACTGCAGCAACTGCTCCGGCGGACAGATAGCCCCGGGGCAGTGAAAGCTCGCGTGCTGCGCTGCCTGTCATCATGGGTGCTGCTAGATGTGCCCCTCAGCGAAAGTGAAGTCCTGGTGCACGACTGCTTCGGTGCCTTGTCTGACCCGGAGCTCTTCGACACAGCCGTGGAGGCAATAGTCAACGCCATCTCGCAGCCTGACTCCCAAAGGTATGTTTGTCATCTATTATTTGCTTGCCCCGAGAGAAGAGGGCCAACAGGGAAAGGGGAGGTCATACGAAGGCACGAAAGATTATTGCGTTGATTAAACTGCAGTAAAAAATGAAGGGAGAAGCTAGGAGGGAAAAGACAAATGCATCAACGAAAAATAAAATGGCCTGGCTGGGTGCTGGAGAGGCAAAGGATGGCAGAAAGGAAGGAGGGGTTGATACAGGGCAAGACGACAGCCAGGGGGAGGAGAGCATTTCTCGGTTGGCTGGCGTTGCTATGGCTACAGAGCTGTGGAGAGATGTCATCATGCCCCGGCTGATTCAGACATGGCAGGCACCCGTTATTACCCCCCCAGAGACAAAGCAGGCGGGGCTGATGGGACAGTACACAGAGAGCAGGGGATGCTTACACAAGGAAGAGGGCAGGGAAGGGCAAACAAGTGTCCCATAATAAAGGAATCCTCAGCACTCCATACAGACAGGGGCGCTGGACCTTTGAGGTGGCTGACTTGTCCGTTTCAATAGAAATACACGTTGTACAGTTGGGTCTGAACAGATGGTGGGGAGAACAGTAATCATCAACACAATCCACACACTGCAAATGTTGTTTTGATCCAAGGATGGACTATAAGTTAGACATGGAGTCTTTTTTTTTTTCTTAGGTTCACTTATTTTTGCATCAGAATGACCTTTGTCTCTTTCCATAGACTGTTTTCTACAATTTTTTCTCCCTGATTTATCCACTGCTCTCCTCTGCCTCATCGTGCCGTTCCATTCCCCCTTTTCATCTCTAGCCATCAATACTAAGCCTACCTCCCCGTCTCTTGTTCTCTTTCTCTTTTTAAACACATTACAGTCAAGTCATTTGGGGGGTTGCTATTGGTCCAGCTGCATCCTGTTGCCAGGCAACCAATTTCCCCTGTCTCAGAGTATTGCAGTAATTGCAGAGAGGGGCAGAGGTGGGAGAGGGACACTGGGGGAGGGATGTTGGGGGGGAGGGAGAAGTTAAAATGATAAGGAAGCACTAAAAGAGGAGTCTGTGTAAATCAGCAGAATGGTAGCAAAACGGTAGGAGACTGCAGCAGTCAAGTGGAATCTTTAGAATGTCATCTCTTTTGCGGGGCAATGGGTGGGGGGGGGTAATGCACTCTGAACCATTCTGCCGTTTTAATCGCATCGCATACACATTTAGGTCCTGCCTTCCGGAGCTAAGAGTGCACGACCTGCATCTGCCAAGCACCTTATTAAAAATGTACAGTCCTCTGAGAGCAGAAATGTGCACACCCAATCAGACAGGCAGGAAAGTTAAATGCTTTTCCCGGCATGGCTCGTAGCAGGAGCCAAGTCACTCAGAACATGCACAGGTATTGGCTTATTAGATGGAGGCCAGATTCATAAACACAACATCTCAGCAGGGTGGAGCGCTTTTCCAGTGGATGTAGAGAAATTCTGTTTTGGCTGCTGAACTAAGGACTTGTTTCCATCAGACAGGACTGTTATTTTGGCTTATGAGAGGGCCGAAGGGAAATTAGAGTAATAACCATATCCCCAACTGGTCGCTTCTGCATTCAGCCTTGAGAGTACAAGTTTCATCTGTCATTCCTTTCCAACACATTTTCCCTCAGCTGTTAGTGATCTGCAAGGGATGCAAATAACAAAACAAACAACCAATCTGATTCTTTGTTCTGTGATATGTCCTGTAAATCAGGCTTAGCGTTCAGAGACAAGACTTGGCTTCTTTCTCCAGATGCTACCACAAGACCTTGCTGTGTCATTGATAAATATTCATTGACCTGAGCCATCATACTTATCGACATTCTCTGGAAAGATTAAGCACTTTTTGCATCCCACCGACCCCCCCCAGGGATACGTATATTGTGGCCGGCATGTATAACATTCACACACGCGCATAATCCTCGCTGTGACATTTGAAGAGCGCACACACCGCCCTTCATCTCTAAATGTCACTACTTCTGCTGCTGTCATTGAGGATAACACAAAGAGTGATGTCTGACGTCGTCACATTTGATTCCTGGCCGGGGAAATGCAGGTGTCTGGTTGAGTTTGTGTGCTGGTTTTTCTGACCAGACTAAAGGAATTCGAAGTGGCTGAGACAGCAGGAAGGAGGCAGAGTAATAACTGACAACAGGTAAACAGTTTAGCTATGAATGAGCTAGGAAAACAATTCCGGTTCCCTTGTAGAGATTCTAGATGTTTGAGACTGGTGTGCGGGATCTGCGTTTGACTGAGTAGGATTTGTATTTGATATGAAATAAATGCTGATCTTGGAAAAGGAAAAAATACATAGCTGTGAGCAGAATGAGTCAGCGTTTTTCTCACCATTCGAAGTGCCCTGGCCTTGCATCCCGTGTCCTCCTCTGCTCTAGATTATTGATTTTTTAAAAACAAGATGCAATTAAATGTTCTTTGTTTTTTGGTTATAGATATGTGAACACTTTGCTGAAACTTGTTCCTCAAGTCCTGGCCCTTCAGGAGCAGCTCAGAGAGGCTGTCCAGAATGGAGACATGGAGACGTGCCACGGTATTTGTCGGATCGCTGTCACACTGGGAGAGAACCACTCTAGGTGCGTGTCTGGTGTCAACAAAGGAGGAACAGCTAAAGCTTCTAAAACGTTCTGAAAGCTCTGTGTTGTCTAACCTCTGAATTGAACACTCATCTGTGCCACTCTCCACAGGACTCTGTTGGCGCAGGTGGATCACTGGCAGAGCTTCCTGGCTTTAGTCAACATGATCATGTTTTGTACAGGCATCCCTGGCCACTACCCGGTCAATGAGACCACCAGCTCCCTCACACTCACCTTCTGGTACACTCTGCAGGTAAGAAGTCTGCAAAACATGTCCTTAACTCCATTCTGAATGAATGTGATAATACTGGATCTGACCTCAAAATCCTATTTGAGTCAACATTCATAAATACTGGTTGACCTCACAATTATTTATGACATAACATCTATTATAACTAGACCAATGGAGATTAAAACTACAGTTTTTCTGAGCACTTTTTTATTAAATCTGTTCTCAGACAGTGAAATATGCGAATAGTTTCTGTTTGAAAATGGTTATAATTGGGTTTGTAGGAGGGCAAGATTTGCAAAGCACTTTTTTAAGAAGGAGTTTTTCAATTGCAATTAAAACTGTCTCTCTGCACCATGGTTACTCTTTCTTCTCCAGGATGAAATCATGTCCTTCGAGTCGGATAAGCAGGCAGTGTACCTTCAGGTTTACAGGCCTGTATATTTCCAGTTGGTGGATGTTCTGCTCCACAAAGCCCAGTTCCCATCTGACCAGGAGTACGCATCCTGGTCCTCAGACGAAAAGGAGCAGTTCAGGATTTACAGGTACACGTGTTCGTGCTTTTGCCTCCCTGTGTTCGAGTCTGTCTCTTCATTGTTCTCTGCTGCACGCCGTTGCCTTTCAGGGACCATTAAGTGTGTAGGAATTACTCCCTGACAGGATGATTGGTCAGCAAATGAGTGTGTTTTTCTCTAATGGACTCTCACTTACAGCTGAGGAGGCAAAACTGTTTGTCAAAAAGATGAACAGATAGCATTTCAAGACTCCATGCTCCTAAAATGTCTGTCTGTCTGTCTGTTCGTGTTTGCCCTTCAGGGTGGATATCTCTGACACACTCATGTATGTATACGAGATGCTGGGAGCAGAGCTGCTGAGTAACCTGTATGACAAACTAGGGAGACTGTTGACTAATGCAGAGCAGCCTACCTCATGGCAGGTGAGTGAGACATATATTCCCTGTTATGCACTGATTTCTATACCAAAACATCCCTTGCATCAGTTCTGAATTCAAAACATCCTTCTCCTACAGCACACAGAGGCTTTGCTGTATGGCTTCCAGTCCATAGCAGAGACGATAGATGTGAATTATTCCGATGTCATCCCGGGCTTAATAGGACTCATCCCCAGAATCAGCATCAACAATGTCCAGTTAGCAGACACAGTAATGTTCACAATAGGTGAGACAACACTGATTGCATGGTAAAAGAAGTGATTTGCAGTTTCTAGTGATGGAAGTTATACGGCAAAAAAGGGGGTAAAGTATTTTTTTTTAGATTGAACTCTTTGCTGATGATCTCTGTTCAGGTGCACTGGCAGAATGGTTGGCAGACCACCCAGTGATGCTCAGCAGCGTGCTACCGCTCGTGTTACAAGCATTAGGGAACCCAGACCTTTCAGTTTCTTCTGTCTCAACACTCAAGAAAATCTGCAGGGAATGTAAATATGATCTGCCACCGTACGCCACCAACATAGTAGCAGTTTCTCAGGTAGAGTACTTCATCTGTTCCATGCTTAACTTATGAAATATGAAAGCAGTTTTTATTAGAACCGCTGTGTCCTTGTTTTTCCAAAAGAAGTAAAAAGCCTTGAAATAATTTCAGTTGCGTTATTTTATTTTATTTTTTCTGTATTTGCTGCCTCTATAGAATAAATGTCAACTACTTTTCTCTTTTTTTTTCCTTCTAAGGAGGTGCTTATTAAACAGATTCACAAGGTTAGTGTGGGGTCTTACGTTCACTGAGTTCCTGTTTTTGTACTTCGAATGTGACATTTTCTGACATATGCAGTCTATAGTTTATGTACAACATGTAATAAACTGTAAAAAAGTTTGTGCATACATATTTATATATATCTTAACCTTATGCTTAATCTCTGATCACCTCCTCCCACAGACAAGCCAGTGCATGTGGCTGATGCAGGCTCTCGGCTTCCTGCTCTCCGCTCTCCCTGTAGAGGACATCTTAAGAAATCTTCACTCGCTCATCACACCTTACATTCAGCAACTGGAGAAGTTAGCAGATGAGACGGTCAGTACAGAAACCGAGGCGAAGCGCCACGCACACAGACACACACAAACGCAGAGCCGGCTCAGTTGGACTGTGGCCAATAGGAGCAGGCGCTGCGTCTCAGCGGTGCTGCTGCAGTGGAACATTTCTCTGCAGGACCAGATTGGATCTGACCCTACACCGTGGGCTAGTGACTCACATGGAACTAGCAAAGATGCATTTTCACTCACTCGCACCAAAGCAAATGTATGCTCCAGAGTAAAAATAATTGTAGTCTAAAAATGAAAGTGCCTCTGCAAACATACTTCCTGTAGGTCGTGCTTTTGCGCTTGTGAGCTCTCTGCTATTCAAAGGAGAATTCTTTGCTGTATTTAAATGTCACATCTAATAGGGCGTATCGAACTGTCACACTGGATATGATAAATATGGAGCTGGTCTTATCTAAAAATAGTTTGATATTTAGTCATTGTGTAACACGGAACAATTACTTCAGGATTCTTTCCCTCAGTCTTTGAAGACCCTCCATTGGGCGAATGGAGTTGTCAGTTTAGATTAGGCTTTTTCATCTCTCTGCCTTTGTCTGTCTGTGTTCCTGCGTTACTGTTCCTCCCGTCCAGATAGCTACCCAGTCTCCCTCCTTCCATCACTTATTTTCCTCCAGCGATGTTGTCACTGCATGTTAGACAACGCAGTCAGGTGTTTTATGTGTGGAGCTGACCAACACTCGCACAGACTGAGGGAGACTTTTGAATCATCTTTAGATGAACCAATGCAAGACGTAGATTAGACAATTAAAGATGGGATTTCGTTTCTGGGCAAACCTCTTGAGCAGGAAGAGTAAGACGTGCACACGCCCTCCAGATGTCGCTTAGTGCAGAGCAGGAAGAGGCATAAATGGAAAGAAGACAAAGGGATGCAGCTGTCAGAGGGCGTGGCTGCCACATCTTTTTCCTTTGTAGCCCCTATGCTGTGTTGCATCACCATGGAGACAGCAGTGACACCCTAATTAATGTTATCACCTTTGGGAGTCTTGCATACGCGCCAAATGTTACTCACATTCCAGGGACCGGAATATGTTTACACGGTCACATCTTTAGAATGAGCCGATTTCCGACAGAAAACAAGTCCCATTATGTAACGCCATCGTTTCTGAGGTGCAAATGTTTTTTAAAGTTAGTCTAAGGCTCCAATCGGGTTAGAGCTGAGTCACACACTCATCCGACAGCTCTGTCTCTGAACCCTTTCCTTAGGGGATGTGTGTGCGCTGTGTGTGTGTGTGCGTGCTGTTGTTCGTATCAGCTTTCTGTGTCAAAGATTTGTTGTTCGTGTCTTTACTCAGTTTCTATACTGTAACAAAGAAGTACCAGAAAAAAATCATACAAATTACATAAATATTCATAAAAATAAGCTTCTTGTTCGACTAGAAAAATAACCCAAAAGATTTAGAAGTAATCTGTTTCCTCTTTTTTGTGTTTTTTTGTTGTTGTTTGTTTCTCCAGCCTAATCCCTCCAATAAACTGGCGATCATCCACATCTTGGGGCTGTTGTCCAACCTGTTCACAACGCTTGACATTAGCAAGCAAGACGATGAGTCAGCGGACAGCTCTGCTCCACCCGTCAAAACAGCGCCACCCCCACCTGGACCAAACCCGGTCAGTTACCATCCATCATCATCATCTTCATGCGTGTGAGCAAGGCTGAGCTGTTCAACACATGGCAACAAATGAGGGGCTGAATTTGCTGTAGAATTTTACATTATTCAAAGGCAGCGGGACGTGGTCCACTCTGGTCTCTTAGATTTGAACAGATCCAGGGACCTTTCGGCCACATGAGTCCCACTCCTCACAAATGGCACTGACTACATTTGCCATCACCCACTGGAGGCATTAGTGTGGGCAGCAGGTGAACTCTGCCCTGTCGCTCAACCACAGTCATTCTGCTGATCTGCGTGCAGCCATGTCGAAATTATGCTGTACTCTTTCTTCTTCTCGGGTAAGAGTTTATTTTCTTGTGTTTAGGTGGTGGTGGTTCTGCAACAAGTTTTCGCGCTCATCCAGACGGTGCTGAGCAAGTGGCTCAACGACTCACAGGTTGTGGAGGTAAGCTGTGGAAGACGTCTCTAATCCCAAACTCCGCTTTTCTGCAAGTCCAGCGCAGGTCTCTAATCGCCTGACTCCCCGTAGGCGGTGTGTGCCATCTTTGAAAAGTCAGTGAAGACTCTACTCCATGACTTTGCTCCCATGGTGTCTCAGCTGAGTGAAATGCTCGGGCAGATGTACAGTACAATTCCCCAGGCCTCAGCCCTCGACCTCACAAGACAGGTACCAGCCTAGCTTGTGCACATTGATGTGCTATTAGCTGATATTTTATGGTTTTACTAGAGAGGGGTGTGCATGATGAGTTAATAAATAGATTAATATTAATAAATGAATTAAGTGTGTTTTTAAGTATTTGTAAGCTTTTTATGTCTCCATCCATAACATGACTCATCCCCAAGCAGATAAACAAGTCTGATTAGTTTTTTATTTATTTATTTTCATAAAAAGCTTTTTCATCACTGTACAAACAATCAACCTGGTTTGCTGTGTACATAGAAAAGCAGTCAGAGTCTGATGTGTGGTCCTGCTGTTTTAGATGGTGCATATCTTTGCCAGCGAGACCGACCACTTCCCACCAATTAAGGCTCTGTTTGAGCTGGTTACCTCGGTAACCCTCTCCATCTTCCAGCAAGGTAGGGGTCCATAAGGGATGGGAGTCTCAGTGTTGTCATTTGTGTCTGATCGTGCTTGATTTCACAGGGTTTACGAACAAATTTGTACGAAGAAAGGAAATAAGATGAAGTGAACAAATTTGTGTTGAAAATCTGTGGGATTTTGTTTTTTAACCTACATTTACATTTACCTGTCGTGATTGCACTTGATTTTCTGCCACATTACCATTACTCAAACGGTCAGAGGACTTTCTGTGGGCTTAAAGGTCACTCGGCTGTCATTGGACCTCTCCGTGTTTGCTCGTATTACTCATTAATGTAAGGGAACCACTGCGGTTTCTGTCCTCTCGATTTTTTCTGGAATCTGAAAAAGAGATTTCATCAATGCAGATTCTTTTCCCCAGTTACTGTGGAATAAGTCGTTCTCCGACTACTATGATTTGCTGTTGACAAATGAAATTGACAAGTTTCCATGTTTTATGTTTGATCTGTGCTTATTCCATTTCTTTATTCATTCTATTTACATTTGCAAAATTGTGGATGAGCTTACCGCTGCATCGTGTTGGACTGCATGAAATTGTCCTTGATTTTGTAACGTTTTCTGAAAGAAAATAGTTCCGCAGCGATGGTTTTATTTTTACATTAATTTGATTGGATCTGATTTGGACACCGATGAGATGATCTCATTCACTAAACTTGGCTTTGAGTGTTTGTACCAGGTCTGTTTGATGTTTCCTTTCCCTTTGTGTTGTCCCTGTTTTCCTCCCTTATCTTCCTGCTTTGAATGACTATGTAATGGCTGCCTCGCCTGCCTTTAAACTCCTTTTTTTCTGAGCAGGTGCCCTTCAGTGTAAAGTATCAGAACAGGATACAGTCACATGACAGAGACCTGTAGCTTATTCAGTTGGCTGACATCTAATATGGCAGGGAGGGTTAACCAGAGCGTCCAGAGCCGCTGGTGTCAGTCAGGCTCTCCATTATAGCCCTCTGAAGAAGTCTCGTCTTCTCTTAAGGGGTTGTGTCGATGAGGATTGGAGTGGGGTATTGAGCAGGAGACTTGTTTGGAGTCTTGGAACAGCCAAAGCTGGACGCTCACTACAAACATTTAGTCTGTCACTCCCAGTTTCCTGTTTGACTTCCTCTAACATTATCCATGAGCCTGAGTGTTTGGAATCCCAAGGTGGATCCTTCAGTGAAAGAGTCTTTACAGGACACCTGTGTCTAATTTCAATCCGTTACACCCTACAAAACTTTGTAGTCTGTGTCCAGCATAAGGCAGGTAGTGACATCACCAATTATGCAAATATCTGAGTGTGATGTCCTCTTATCCACATGGGATCCTTTTGGACCAGGGACAAGTGGACTCATTATAGTAACTTCTTCCTTTAAGACACTTTTTTAACTCTTGAGAAGGACTGTTTTGCCTGTTATGTCCTCATGTGGCTGGTGGTGTCTCACGGGAAGGAGGGGTGGGTTGTTCAGGTCCGGTGCCTCTTTTCATCTAAAGTATAACAGTAACAGAGGTTTCTCCTGGGTTCCCACTCCAAACTCACCTTTGCTTTTTAGGTTTGTTCTTTTTCTCTCGTTACTTCTTTTCTTTATTTGTTTCTCTCCAAACAGAACCATGTCTTTGTCTTCTGCCTGTTGTTTGTTTTTGGTTGGTCTCTTCTTCCAAGACTCTGCCAAAGCTTCATATGCCCCCCCCACTACCCTTGCCCTTCGTTCCTTACTCACATGTAAATTATTTCAATGAAATATTTTTGAGTTCTCTTTTATTTCCACATGACTGTTGAATCTATTAAGTTGCTGTTTGTATATTATTCTTATTCTCTTATGATTTCTTAAGTTTCATCTTTATTATATTATAGGACCCAGGGATCATCCTGATATTGTTGATTCATTTATGCAACTCCAAGCTCAGGTGTGTTTTTGGTTTCTTATTTCATTCACTTTGGGTTTCTCTCTCTTTCTCTCTTTTTCTGATTTCTCCCTCCTTTTCTGTCCCTTTTCTCTCTTTACCTCTCTCTGTTTTGTATTGGGACCGATGGTCCCATCACAGATGAGGCAGTGGAATGAAACACTTGAGGGAAATGTTCGAAAAGGGAGGCTTATCTCCCCTCAAGCGCTTTTGACTCTTAACAGTCGCCTCACCACTCAAAGGACCTAAAGACTACGATATTCTGATTAAAGTGATTAAAGCACCAATAACACACAAATCCTGATCTTTGGTGTAGATCTTTGGAGAGATTAGCTGTTCTCAGAGGTGAATGTATCTTTGATTTAAATTTCAATTTAAATGTGATCTGAGATGCTGTGTGTGATCTTTTAAATAATAGACAATGAACTTGTTATGAAAGTGACATAGTCAGCACAGAAATAGATTCAGCACCATTTGAAATGCTGAAACGTTACAAATTCCTCTCCCTCTATTCCTGAAGTGGATCAAAAGGCCACACGTGGTCTAGAGAAAGACATTAATGTGTTCAGAATTTGAAAAATACCCCCAAGGTGACACGTTCCTCTCAGAAAATTGTGCTGCAGGATGAGTATTAGCATAGTGGTCCAGGTGACTGTTGAGTCTCTGAGCCCTGACCTCCTCTGAAGTCATTCCAGCCCGGAGCCAATCAAAGCCCAAATGAATTAATATTCAACTAATATTAATCAGTTCGAGCAAATTGGCTGATGGCTCCCTTGTTTTTATATTTTTGTCTTTCGTCTTCATTCTTCCTTTGTTTTCTATCTTTGGATAGATCTGACCTTCATATCTCTCCCTTTGCCTCTCTCCCTCTCTCCTCTCCTCCATCCTGAATGAGTTCATTATTATGAGATGAGTTGTCTTTTATCTGCACATGTTAATTACTTACACACTTCTGTTGCATATTCTGTCCAGTCAACCAAAAACAATGAAAAGTAATACTGACGTTTCAAATAGAGGCGAAAACAAAACCACCATTGCCTTTAGTTTGACTTAAGTTTCAAATGATTTCAAAGTTTGATTTCTTGCAATTTGTTTGTTATACCTGCTCAGTTCTGCATTGGAGGATCTGTGTATGAGTTTGGACAAAGCTTTTCCTAAACAGATGGAGAGAGCACTATAGCCTGGTAGGCAGATCTGGTCCTTGGTTTCCGATCCGATCCGACTACCAGGCTTAGCGGGCACTGTTGGTAGCATTATTTCGAAGGAGCTTATGCAGTGGAATGTGGTGAAGAAATACCGTTCGGATCAGGTCGACCAACACATACTCTGTTTAACGCCTCTATCTGCCTCATAGGCCTTCAAACGGAAGCCCGATTTGTTCTTGTCAGAGAGTCTTGATGTGAAAGCAGTGTTCCACTGTGGTAAGTGTGTACGAGACGCACACAAACGCACACGCCTGCACTCCACTGTGTTCTGCTAAAATATCTTTTGGGTGAAATGCCTGGCTGTCAGTACAAAGTGTGCTCTGTAAATGTTTGACACTGGCCTTCAGCGCTTTCTGTCTCCCCTCTCCCATCTCTAGGAATTCTGTCGCTCAAATTTCCGGAGGCCCCGACAGTCAAGTCAACGTGCTTGTTCTTTGTAAGCGCGCGTGCACATCAAAAACCTCACGGGCACCATTCTGGTTATGACGAGCGGCTTGTTTCTAAATCGGATGGTTTTATTTCTGCTGCAGACCGAACTGCTACCCCGCTGCTCAGACGTGCCTCCCGTAGCCAGAGTTGTGCAGGAGGATGGAAAGCTGTTGGTACAAGCCGTGCTGGAGGTGAGAAGTACCACCTCACATTTTGCTCTTGCTAATCAGAGCATCTTGATCTTAACTCGGCCATCTTGTGTATAAAAACACAATGCAAAAAAGGACGTGCTTCAGTTAAGAAAATAGTAACAATGTCACCAACTACAAATGTATTTATCACGCACTCATAAAAACAAAACATCCCCTCAGTGTTTCTCACCGTCAGAAAAACCAGTAACCACAGCAACGGGGATTAATTACCACTCAGGTTTTTTCTTTTGTTTTTGTTTTTTACAGCACATAAACTCAGATTTGAAAAAAAAAAATTAATCTGGGTTCGATCAAATTGGGCCTCCGTGCTCTGATCTCTGTGTGAGACAAAGCTGCCGCTCAGCTGTACGCAGTGAGAGCTGGTCACATTAAAAATGAGGCGTAAATGGTCCAAAGGTTTGCTGGAATAAGACTCGCTCAGTTACCATCAGATCAGTGGAAATATTCCACCTCAACCCACGGTGTAAAACTCCTCTTTTAATCTGTCCAGGGCATCGGCGGTGGGGCATCCCGAAGTCTCATGGACCAGTTTGCAGAGGTTCTGTTCAGTCTAAACAAGCACTGCTTCTCTCTGCTCGCCGTGTGGCTGAAAGAGGCACTGCAGCCTCCAGGATTCCCGTCCTCACGCGTCACAACTGAGCAGAAAGACAATTTCTCTCAGCAGATACTCAGGTAACAGGGCTGCACGCTTATTACAGTTTAGTGAGCCCCATGGAGGCTTTTAACCTGCACTAAAATCCTTGTTTTTTACCATGCTTTCCTTCAGAGAAAGAGTGAACAAAAGGAGGATGAAGGACATCGTGAAGGAGTTCACACTACTGTGCAGAGGTCTCCATGGTACAGAGTATGCTGCTGAATACTGAAACTCGCCCTTTGAACTTTCTCCTAACCATGACCTCTGCCCTCAGCGCAAAACAGCCAGATACCACAGCGACACAGTTCTCTCCCACCCCTTAACGATATCACAGAATGATTGTAAAGACAACCCACCCAGTCGCAGGACAAAACATGGAGCCATTCCAGCACAGACCTGCCATCAGATCAACAGACAGACTTTGAATCCTTGGTGGCTTCCCCGTGGCCATCCTCTCCGCTCCAGTGATTCTTTTCTCTGCTAGAAGATCGATCGTGTGTCTTTCTCCTCCCCCTCTTCCCCTCTTCAGAGGTGTTTTTGGCGGAAGAACTTTGAGCAGCACACCCAGCATGCTGCCGCGCCCCTCCCTCTGTCTCTGGCTTGTTTTTGCCTTTTCTGGATCTTCCTGTGGTTCCTAGGTTGTTTCCTGGTGATTAGCATCCATATGAAATGGTAGTGGTATCGTACGTAGCTACTTGGCATTATTTTTCAAATGAAATCAAATTAATTATCTAAATGTATATGTATGCACATATAGAAAGAGAGTGGTTGTCAGTCCTGCTGCTGCTATTGGGAGGAGAGAAGGACCAAAGTGAAGAGGGGATCTGCTGGAAGGATGACATTTATTCTATAATATCTACTCCAACTTATAACCCTGTTGTCTCTGCATTTGCCAAATTCTGACTTCTTTTGTGAATTTCTGTATATTTTTTTTAAAATAAAGGCCTTTTAGTCGGAATGGGTGGACAGAGAAGGCTGAAGACCACGTAACATGGACTTAACAGAGTCTTGCCAAGCCCCGTACATGTGGGGCTGTACCTCATGTACATAACCCCCCCCCCAGTCATACTGGAGTCTCTTTGGCTAGTAGATGCAGTGGTGCCTAAAGTAAAGCAGGACTGCCAACAGCGAGCCTGGAGGAGAAACTGATCAAACTAATTGGCAGAGAAATGGAAAGGCTACTAAGAAGCAGCAGGCAGAGCTTTTTGGATGAATAGACTATCCTGGCAATGGACTGCTTAGTCACTGTAATCGTGCAAAAATATTAATCAAGTTGTGCAAATTAACAGTTTATGCTGAACACTTTTGTGTATCCAAGTGTATGCGTGTGTTGATACTTGTGCGTGTGTGTGTATGAAAGGCTGGGTGTGCACAGATGTATCTTTTTCCACTTGTTCGGTGCACTTATATCGGACCTACAGTACAAATGCATAATTTCCTCCTGTTTATTATTCAAAGGGCCCGTTCATTTCTTCACGCCGCAGTCACTCACGCGCCCCATGTTTCACCTCTCACCAGCAGCCGCACTCATCTATGCCACAATCCTACCGTGTAGATAGATAATCCAGACGCATCCATTTGTCTGATGACCCACGCCAACTACCGCTGTGAACTGAGTGCTTGTGAGCTAACTGCCCAGAATCCTTTCACTCATCTGGGTTACTGCCTTGGACAAGACCACGAAAGGATTAGAGAGTTGCGTAGCAAAGTGGAAGACCCTCAAACCGAGAACAGTACTCCACACCGACCCTCTGTGCTCGTTCATTCAGCCCAACGTGGCCCGGCAGTGACACAGGCTGGTGAATCAGCTGGGCCAGCTGACATCTACTTACACTCAGCATTGCAATGTACTTTGTGGTCTCTTGTTAAAACTTTATCTCAGTCTAATCCTTCTGTCTTATCCGAGGTGCCTGCAGACATGTAGCATGTATATGTTTTGGGCGGGTGGGGTTCAGGGGTTCGGATCGGCTTAGTGTGGACGAGCTTGCAGAAACATGTGTTCAGACTGAGACCCGAATCTGCAATCAAGCCTGAAGTGTGCTGATGTGCTTCGGTTTCATGTGACATCTGGGAATGTCTCGAGTTCAACACTGATCCCTGGTCTGTTTTGTGGTCTTAGTCAGAACTAAGAGGGAAAACACTGTTCTGGTATATTTATGGAGCTTTAGGTGGAGGATGAATGGGCGGAATAAAATGTACAATGTTTTGTCTTTCTTTTTTTTGTTTGTTTTGTTTTTTGTACCTTGGCTTTAATTTATTAAATATATCTAAGACTGCAGCTCTTCTCTGTGTGGGAGTTGTTTCTCTCGTTTGTACTGGAAGGGTCTACATCTGCTGTCTTTTACATAAAAAAAACAATGGAACAAACAAAACCAAAACACTGTTTCATCTTTAGAGGTTGAGAAAAGTGCATCAAACCATGCTCTAATCTCCACATCAATCTAATCAAATCGCCACAATGAATTATCAAAAAAAAGTCTATGTTTGCCGTTTGAACCCCTGCAAATCTAAGAAAGCAAGGAAAGTTTAGTTTAAAAGTTGGATTGAGAGTTAATGCAGATCAGTAATTTGTTGCACGTTGCGCACTGGATCGACGTGCACGTGACGCCTTGACGTTTTTCCCAAATTGACTCAAAAATGCCCGATGAGCTCCGCTTGGATCGTCCTTAAGTGCGCATGCGTCAGAAAGTCAGAGCGGTCCACGCGTGAGGGAGAACTCCGTCCATCCTACTCTGACAGTCCCAGGAGCCAAGCGGCCTGACTACTTCCAGCCCTTCAACCGGGACTAGATATTTCCTGCAGGAGTCCGGTGAGGAGCAGTATCTCTACTTTTCAACTCTTAAAAACAGAAACCAAAAAACAAGTCAACTTTTGAAGCTGCTGCACGTAAGTTAGCTTTTTGCTAACTCTAGTAACTTCAGCTGGCACACAACCAACAGAAAGACTCACGGGGCTTTCTGTGTCTCTTTGAACACTTGTTTGGAAGTCCCGGTCCTCTATGTCGTTGTTAACGTGCATGAAATTGATATTGGATCAACTCTGATTTTGTGGTGGTTTCTATGGATGTATTCCACTCAAAGGGGGTTGTAGTTTGCTCCATGTAGATAAGGACTAACAGAAAGCTCCTGACCGTGTTGTGTGAGACCCCCTCCCCACCCCCCCAATACACACACACACACACACACACACACACCTGCACGTCAGTCATGTGTACTTAAAGCAAATTACTTTTTTTTAAAAAATCCGATTGCTTGTTTCCTGTTAGTTGTCAACACTAGAAGTCCCACAGAATCTCAGTCATGTACTTTTTAGGGATATTTTAAAAACTTGAGTACATACTTGTATAACTTTGTGAATACGCAGGGAAAAATGACAACAGGGCTCTGCCAGAGACATGTCCTTACTCATAGGTCCCCTTGTAACTGTCCCTAAAGTCAGTGCTGTGTATCTCTGGATGAATGATTGCAGACCACGTCTCCCTGATGCTATTGCACCATCGTTTGTGATCAGGTCTTTCAAATGCTTTGTTCTGTTAACCATCGTTGACCTTTGCCACCTGATTTGATGTGATCTGTTACGACACAAAAACACTCGTTGAATTGGATCAATTTTATCGACGCAGGGTGGCCACAAACTCATCATCAATGGTTTTGGGAACTGATTCCTCTGTAAGTCTAAACTGGATCTGTCATGTGTTCTCCAGCCATGGCTGTGGTGAGGTTCTACAGTAATGAAGCTCTGAGTGGGCGAGCCCTACAGAGAGCAGCCAAGCTCTACCCGCATCTGTCAGTAAAGACCGAGCTCTGCTACAACGTGGAGCTGACAGGTGAGTTTAAAATGGAGCCGGTGTGGACGGCAAGGCCGCTTTGAAACGGTATGAATTCACAATGTGTCGCCTTGGGGTTTTTTTTTTTTTACTCATCTGTTAAGTTCTCTTCCACAATGCTTTTATTGATTCCTCCTGATCTCTGCTGCAGGCTGTGAGAGTCTGGGTGCCGAGCAGAAGGAGGTCCTCCTGTGGCTGTTTAGCCCTCTCCTGCGGGCAGAGCCACTGTCTGAAAAACCAAACCTCACAGAGGGCAGCGGGGAGAAACTGGTGGAGATTGGACCCAGGTACTGGTTCCTGTTTGGTGAGCTGCACATGTATATGGCGTTACAATAGCCCCCCTGCTTGTTGCTGAATGATATTCCAGAGCTTTTGTGGGTGGGATCTGCACATGTCGCAGGTTTTCAAGTGGGAAGATTTGATGCCCCGCAAGCTTCTCCGAGCAACTGAAGGTTTATGATAAACATTTAAGGCCAATTTCAGCGTTCCCCCCTGATATTTGTGCTCTTAGAGGCCTATTGTCAGTGAGATGACAAATACTTAGATTAAAAGGAACTGTTTTTCGTATGAGGAGTGGATGGAGTGGAAAGTCAGCAAAAGCCACATTAATATTCACACCCCGGCTTTAAGGAATATTCCCTTTAAATATCATAGAGGTCTGATATACTGAAACACAAAGGCAGAACATATGAGCGATGAATCAAGTTCTATGTGTGACTGTTGAGCATTTTAAGAGCTTCTGAAAGAAGCCACGGGAATTCTAAAGACGCTTAATTGTTTGGGCGCAAAAGTCAGGCTGTTGCATTTGTTCAGGCTGAACTTCTCCACCGCCTGGTCCACCAACGCCGTGTCCATCTGCCGGAGCGCCGGGCTGGCGGCCGTCACCCGGGTGGAGCTGTCCCGCAGGTTCCTCATCAAGGTGCGAGCGCTGCGTCCGGTCTCCCCCCCATGCCCGGTGCTCTGTCCTCTGAAGTGACCCGTCTGCGCCCTGTTCCAGCCCACGAGCGGCCCCGGTGCGGGCGACCTGAGCGGGGATGTGGAGAGGCTGATCCAGTGCCTGCACGACGGGATGACGGAGTGCGTCTACCAGCGCCCCGTCGCCTCCTTCGCCGTGGAAACCGAGCCGCAGCTGGTGTTCGAGGTGGACGTCCTGGGGCGGGGCCGCGCCGCTCTGGAGACGGCCAACCACGACTTGGGTGAGAATTCAGATTTTTCCAGCACACATTTGGTCTGTTTTTAAGGGTCAGGCCATCTCCGTTTGGCTGATTGTCCCTCTCTCCTCCCTTCCCAATGCTGTCCCTCAGCCACGCAGCTCCCCGTAAGTACGCCGCGTGCTGAGGAAGCTCAGAGCATCACATGACGCACGGCCGCCTCACTTAGCTGCTGAAGGTCACAGGACAGCAGTGATGCTGCTCATTAGCCCACACGTGCTTGGCTGTGTTGCGCATGTAATGAGACCCAGACAGAGATCTTGTCCACAGACCGGGGGTCGGACTCTGAGTTAGCTCAGCTCAGTAACTGCACGTTTGAGACTGGCTGCATGCAGCGATGGAACGATGTTCGCCGGGCAGCCATTGGCACGCACGAGCAGCCCACACAGACGAGATCGTGGACACAGTTAGAACTGGTGTCCGGTTATAACACAGCACCAGAGCATCAGTGTTTCTGTCTCCCAAAGCTGAGTCTGACCTGCTCGTTAACAGAAGGGACGCAAATCATTAAAGAGGCTTTTTCTACTTTGCATAGTCATAGGTTTAACTTAACTGATTTCGAGTGTCTACGAAGTGCGGTGATGTGCTTTGTGTGGACAGAAACCTGAACCGGATGGAATGGGTTGTGTGTTTGCTGTTTTCTTTTGTAGCATGCAGATTTTGTGAGTGTGCTTGTAGTTTTTATATTCGTGTGTGCTGTGCGTTCCACAGGGCTGGCCTTCGACTCCTGGGACCTGAACTTTTACACCTCCATGTTCCAGAGGATTAAAAGGAACCCCACCAGTGTGGAGTGTTTTGACCTGGCCCAGTCCAACAGGTGGGGTGGGGGTCCGAAATCAGCTAGCTAGCAGGAATGCTGTGTATTGTTTGTTTGTTTCTCGGCTCTGCCTTTTTTTTTTTGGTTTCTGGTATGTTTATTTTTCTGCGTGTGTTTTATTGTTTTTTTATTTTTTTTTTAGAACTTAGACTATTATTATTTTTGCAGAGCAATGATACAACCATGCATTAAAGGTACATGACACAAATGTTGACAATATGAAGTTTTCCGTAAATAAACATCTTAATTACAACTGTAGGTTCATCGTCATACAACACTTTGGGAGGAATAGCTAGACATCATATGCCAAGAGACAAACTTGTTGGGTTTATTTACAACAGCATTGCTTCTGCTGGCCCCCAGCGCAGGTTAAAAGTGTTTTTTTGAAGTCTCAATGAGTAGGTTATCTTTTCCATTTGGTACAAGTGTTTTATTGTTTTTAATCCTCTTTACTTGGGTTTCCGTGTCCCAGCGAGCACAGCCGTCACTGGTTCTTCCGGGGCCGGATGTTGATCGACGGGCAGGAGCAGAAAGAGACACTCTTCAGCCTCATAATGGGCACTCAGCGCCACAGCAACCAGAACAACGTCATCAAGTTCTGCGACAACAGCAGGTAGTGCAGGACACTGAACGGGGGCGCCGTGTGTGGAACTTGTTTTTTTTTTCTCCTGCTCACACCGTGCGGATGGGGCTTCTGTGCAGTGGCATCCGAGGCGTGGAGGTGGAGTGCCTTTACAGCAAAGACCCGTCCCAAGCGAGCCCGTACGAGACGCGGCGCGCAGTGAGACACGCCATCTTCACGGCCGAGACACACAACTTTCCGACCGGTCAGGACCCGCCGCTCGCCAGTCTGGCTCTCACACGTGGCCCCGCGTTCTGTGACGAGGCTCAGGTGTTTCTGAACGTGCTGTGCAGGTGTGGCCCCTTTCAGCGGCGCCACCACGGGAACCGGCGGCCGCATCAGGGACGTTCAGAGTGCGGGAAGAGGGGGCCACGTCATCGCTGGAACAGCAGGATACTGCTTCGGAAACTTGCACATACCAGGTCAGACACCGAGTTCCAAGTGAATGAACAACCGCTGACTCATCACTTCCTCTGAAAATGAAGGAGAAAGGAACACTTAAAGGCCCTGCAGCCGAAAGAAAGATGAAGTAAAGAATGTCCGGCACATAACGGACTGATTAAAGTAGATTGTGTTAATTCTAAAAGTTTATGAGGATGAAGTTTCTGAAATTGAATATATATATATATATTTTTTTTAACAAGATGCACTGAACACGTTCACGTTTCTCTCTTTAAGGATACGACCTCCCATGGGAGTGTAAAGGAGAGGGGTGGGAGTATCCTTCCAGTTTCGCCCCGCCTCTGCAGGTGGCCATCGAGGCCAGCGACGGAGCCTCAGACTACGGCAACAAGTTTGGAGAACCTGTGCTGTCAGGTACATCAACAAAACTATAGACCTATGGCAGCCTTTTTTTACTTTTTTTTCCAATTAAAGTTAAAACCTGGTAACACGACCGATGCCTGCATTGTGTAAAATGCTTATATAAATATAAAGATCGTACGACTGCAGGAAATTAGTTTTCAGAATACAAAAAAAACAGCTACTTTTTTTCCTCAAGGTTTTGCCCGCTCCTTCGGCATGCGATTGGCTAACGGTGAGCGGCGGGAATGGATCAAGCCCATCATGTTCAGCGGCGGTCTCGGGTCGATTGAAGACACGCACGTGAATAAGGAAGCGCCGGAGCCAGGTAGTGTTATGAACTGGGTCTGAACCGGGGGGGGAACCGGCTGATTAACGGGATCCAGGAGTCAGCGTCCCGCTCTCGTCCGTCAGGAATGGACGTGGTGAAGATCGGAGGCCCGGTGTACCGGATCGGTGTGGGAGGCGGGGCGGCCTCTTCTGTTCAGGTAGGTGCGCTTCCATCAATACCTCAGCTGTGCCGTGCGACTCGGGTGAGAACTTAGAACCCCTCCTCTGGGGCCGTAGGTGCAAGGGGACAACTGCAGCGCCAGGGACCTGGGGGCCGTTCAGAGGGGAGACGCCGAGATGGAGCAGAAGATGAACCGGGCTCTCAGAGCCTGTTTGGAAAGAAGCAAAGGAAACCCAATCTGCAGTATTCATGATCAGGGGGCAGGAGGAAATGGTATAAGTGCTGGTTTCCCTTTCATTAAAAAAAAAGAAAGAGAATTAAAGTTGTGTAACCGGAGCCAAGAAACTGATCTCATCTGCAGGCAACGTGCTGAAGGAGCTCAGTGAGCCAGCAGGCGCTGTGATTTATTCCAGTAGGTTCAAGGTAATTATCTCAGGAAAACTGCACAACTTTTCTCATTTGTCCAAATACTCCTTCTTTTTTTAAATTTATTTCAAATGCTTAAAGATTCCTCTTGATGGGATTTTAGCCTAATCTAGTTTTGATCCCTTTTCCTACTCGCTGCCGCTGTTCAGAAAGGCGACCCGACACTGAGCGTGCTGGAGCTGTGGGGAGCAGAGTACCAAGAGAGCAACGCCCTTCTGCTGCGGGCCTCAGACCGAGCCTTCCTGGAGAGGGTTTGTCAGAGGGAGAAGTGTCCCGTTGACTTTGTGGGCAGCATCACAGGAGACGGAAAGGCAGGTGTCACCAATCTGCCTCCGCTGCATATACAGGGTCACCCTTTCACGGTTTAGGGTGCTTCATCAGTGCATTTACGTCAGCGTGTGCCTTATTATTTCTGGTTTGCTTTTCCCAGATTGTGCTGGTGGACGACGAGAGGGGCGGCGGCGACCAGGCAGACGGGAGGCGCCACCCTGTGGACCTGCAGCTGGACTGGGTCCTGGGGAAGATGCCGCAGAAAGAGTTTAAGATGGAGCGACTGGCCCTGACCCATCAGCCTTTGACTCTTCCCGCTGACCTTACGGTCAAAGACGCCCTGCAGCGAGTTCTGCGTTTGCCCGCCGTGGCCTCCAAACGTTACCTGACCAACAAGGTTTGCGTGCCTCATCCCTGTCCAACCCAGCGTCCGTCCGCAGACGGAAATCTGTGCCGACACGTTGTGACTCTCAATGTCCTCTCTCTCTCTCTCTCACTCCCTCGGTCAGGTGGACCGATCTGTGACTGGGCTGGTTGCCCAGCAACAGTGCGTCGGCCCTCTCCACACCCCATTGGCTGATGCTGCTGTTGTTGCGCTTTCACCGTTCAGCCTGGAGGGAGCAGCAACGGCTATCGGGGAGCAGCCAATTAAAGGGCTCGTCTGTCCGGCCGCGGGGGCTCGCATGGCTGTTGGAGAGGCTCTGACCAATCTGGTGTTTGCCCGAGTCACAGCACTGAAGGTGGGCCGGCCTCACTTACATCACAAAATAATAACCACAGCGGTCTCCTGTCATTGTCCCTACGAAATGAAATTAAAAAGAAAAAAAAAACTCTCCTCGCTTTTGTCCGTGCTTGTGTGTGTTTTGCAGGATGTGAAATGTAGTGGGAACTGGATGTGGGCTGCCAAGCTGCCCGGTGAGGGGGCCTGCCTGTGGGAGGCCTGTAAAGCCATGTGTGAGGTCATGGGGGAGCTGGGAGTCGCCATCGATGGGGGCAAAGACTCCCTGAGTATGGCAGCAAGAGTGGGGAAGGAGACAGTAAAAGCTCCAGGTAATCTCACAGCCTCTCTCTGTGCGCGTGGCTTTTCCAGTCTCATGTCATTAAACCAGGCTTTTGCTCTGCTTCTGCTCCAGGAGCTCTGGTTATTTCTGCATATGCCATCTGTCCGGACATCACTGCCACTGTTACGCCTGATCTTGAGGATCCAGATGGCAAAGGTTTGAGACGCGACATGGAAAAGGGCCCGCACAAATAATTTCTCCCTTCTAACGGCTAATAACTAATGTTGTCTAGGTCAAATTAGGTCTAAGCTCTTCGGCAGAGCTCCAAACGTCCCACGTTTTCCTTTCTATCCTTCTGTCCGCATCCATCTCAGACGCGTACGTTTACTTCCCGCAGGCGTGCTGCTGTGGGTTCCCATCAGCCCCGGCCGTCACCGCCTGGGCGGCTCGGCCCTGGCTCAGTGCTACAGCCAGCTGGGCGACTGCTCCCCGGATCTGGACCGGCCTGCAGTGCTGAGCGCCTGCTTCAACACCACTCAGCAACTCCTACAGGGTCGGTTTCAGCTCGGGCTGATTTTCAGCCTCCTACAGGAAAAAAAAGTTTGATAGTGCTTATGCCTTCCTGACTGCGCACCCAGGCTTCTGCAGCGGGCTGGAATGAGACTGCCACCTGGTGGTGTGACTCTGCTCTTGCCTTTTTTTAAATTTGCTGAGTCATGACACTGGAAGAAGAATCTGAAATATTAGTTTGGTGGAGTCGTCCTTTTGTAGAGTGAGCTGGAACATGTGTGAGGAGGGAGGCTAATGGAGCCGGTGTGGCTCTGGTGCTTTCAGAACGCCTGCTCAGCGCGGGCCACGACATCAGCGACGGTGGCCTCATTTCCTGCCTGCTGGAGATGGCCTTTGCCGGAAACCGTGGGATCGACATCGAGCTGTCTTCACAAGGAGCTGGAGGTCGGAGAACCGAGTGTGTCGTTTGGGTCGTTTGTCCCCCGGTTTCCTCCCCGGTCCTCAGAGTGAACCCGTGCCGTGTCTGTGCCTCCTCTCTGTTGGCGGAGCAGTCTCGGAGCTGCTGTTCAGCGAGGAGCTCGGCCTGGTCCTGGAGGTTTCGCAGACTGATCTAGAGACTGTGTCCCGACGATACGGGGAGGCCGGCGTGCAGTGCCATCGCATCGGATCAACCCGCGGCTTCGGACCGGAGTCCACGGTGGGATATCCTCCCCATGAACTGAGCATTGCCTCTTTACCCGCGATAGCCGGCATCCTCCCATTTCCTTCATTTGTCTTAAAAGGTCCGCGTCTGCGTGGATGGAGAAGAGGTCCTCCGCGAGCCGCTGCCTGACCTCAGAGCGCTTTGGGAGGACACGAGTTTCCAGCTGGAACGACTCCAAGCCGATGAGGTCTGCGTCAAACAGGAAGAGGAGGGGCTTGCCAGAAGGACGCAGCCGTACTTCAGACTGAGCTTCAATCCATCTGAGGGCCCCAGCATCGGTCAGCTCCGTAAGCCTACACAGAAAGTGTATCAAGAAGAGGATTCCTTTTCAGGAAGGAAAGATTCTTTTCTCGTCTTTTTTCGTTTTTAAGATCTTGGGTCTGCTCGTGATTTTCTCTTTCAGCTCCAGGACCCCCCCGTGTCGCTGTGGTGAGAGAGGAAGGCAGCAATGGAGATCGAGAAATGTCTGTCTCTCTGTATATGGCAGGATTTGAGGTAGGCAACAGCTTTGTGAAGGCCCCTCAGAGCTGCGCCTGCTCAGTTTGTGATCTGACCCTCCAGTTGTGGCTGTGTAGGTCTGGGACGTCACCATGCAGGACCTGTGCTCCGGCTCTCTGACGCTCGAACCTTTCAAAGCTGTCGTGTTTGTGGGGGGATTCAGCTACGCCGACGTTCTGGGATCTGCTAAAGGTAAGCAAAAAATGCACAAACCTGACGAGCACCCATTCAGATTTGTTTATGGTGTAAACCACGTTTTGTTTGTTTGTCATGAAGGCTGGGCAGCAACTGTTGCCTACAACCCGAAGGCAAAGGCTGAATTTGCTCACTTCCGGCAGAGGGAGGACACTCTGAGTCTGGGAGTGTGTAACGGCTGCCAGCTGCTTGCCCTGCTGGGCTGGGTGGGAGAGGGCGAGGCTGGAGCAGGTCACAGCGCAGAGCCTGAAATGTCTTTTTTCCTTCTGTTTATTCTTGTGCCGTTATGGTAACGCCCATGTCCCCTTCTTTTTGTTTGACAGACTCTGAGGTGGTGCTCACTCATAATAAGTCGGGCAGGTTTGAGTCGCGGTTCGTCAGTGTTGGGATTCGGGAGTCCCCGTCTGTCTGGCTCAGAGGCATGGAGGGCTCCGCTCTGGGAGTCTGGGTCGCACATGGAGAAGGTAAAGCCAGAAACACGCCACTTCTGAAAGGTCAAGGCTGTGAAACCAGCCCTAAAGCCACGTCAACATGGAACCTGTTGACAAAACTCTTAACTGTAACTGAGAAAAAGCATCAGCTGCTAAAAGTTTTGTTCTTGCACAACCGTGATTTATTTGTCACAGGACCGTGTGTTGTGCAATGTGCAGCTGGGTTTTGTATTGATTTACCACAACCCTCTTTGTGTCCCAAAGGCCTGGTGCAATTCCGAAGCTCCAGCGCCAAAGACCTGACTCTTTCCAGTGGGCTTGCCCCCCTCCGTTACCTGGACGACCAGGGTTGCCCCACAGAGGAGTATCCCATGAACCCCAACGGCTCTCCGCAGGGTGTCGCGGGGCTCTGTTCCAGGGACGGGAGACACCTGGCCATGATGCCCCACCCGGAGCGCTGCACCCTGGGCTGGCAGTGGCCTTGGGCTCCGAGGGACCTCCGGCCCTCCCTCACACCGTCACCCTGGCTGCGCATGTTTCAGAACGCTGCCAAATGGTGCAGCAAAACCGATTGAGAATGTTCCACGGACACCATTCTTGTACTGTGAAAGTATTGTGTAATTTTAAGATTGAAATGATATCTTTTTACCTTCTATGGTACCTGCATTTGGTCTCCATGCATCACTACTGCATGTTGTACTTTAAGAGTCTGCTTGGGCTGAGAATTAAGGACATTTTGTAGGCTTATAAGAGAATGGGAATCAGTTCAGTTGACATCATGAATGCTATACTTACTGTTGAATAAAACGGTTTGTGTTCAAAAGACGCCATGTCACACAATAAATATTCTTTATTTTGAACATAAAAAGAGAAATACATATAGTACATATTTACAAGAGCTTTCCAGTATTGACAACAGCTTCTGGAAGCTCCTTTGAGTTTTGGATATCACCATTGCCTCAGCTTTGTAAACACACTGGAGTCCCAGTCTGACAGCCTGAGACAGCATCTGACTCCAGACTTTTTAACAAGCCATGCATTTATCAATAATCTCACCCCCGCTAATCCAACTAACCACAGGAAGAGAGTAGGAATCCAATAAAAGTCCAACGGTTCACAGCTGACAAAATCCAGCTGCGCGCACCTAAAGTGTGCTCGCCATCACTCCCTGCGCGGCTGTTGTGTTTGGAGAGTGTCCTCTCTCTGGTGCCATTTGCTGGTTGATGTTGAGAACACAGATGAGAAGCAGAATGACCACCACCAGATCATCCAGAGCCCCCAGCAGGCCGCAGAGTGAGGGATCCGTTGGAATGGGGTTTGACGATGAAGACGCAGTGTCCACCGATGGGGAGGAGATGGACACCATGGTCCCCACACAACACAAGGCCACTCTGAAGAGAAACAACCCTACGAGGCCTCCCATGGTGCCAAGCCCGCGAGCCAGCAACTGCAGAGCAAGGGGGGCGTCACAGAGGTAGTCCGTTACCTGGAATAGACAGTATGCAGGAGGGAGGGGGACGAATTAGGCTCGAACACACACGAGAGGTTCACAGACATGTTCAAACATGTTCAAGCATTCAAACTTGAAACTTGGAAATGGATTTTGATGTGTTTCAACATAGGTATTAGTCTGTATCTTGAAACTATCATGTACCCAATGTTTTTAAGAGATGCAAACAAGTCCCACCACTTTTGTTCATGTAGCACTGTGAAAGGTGATCCATGTGGGAAATTTAGGTGTGGACGCCTAATCCAGAGGAAAGTTAATACACACTGGGTTAGCCAGCCAAGGTGTTAACTTTTGTCATTGTTTGAATTCTTCTATTGGACAATTCATCCTTGAGGTTACACAAGAGGTTTGTTATTACCAAGTAGACAAAAAAGGAAATAAAAAAATGTTCCTTTTCCCTTCAGTCTTATTGAATATTATGCCAGGAAAGTCACACTACTCCATTTTGCACAACCAGACAAAGGCAGTGAGCCTGCGATGTGGTACTGACCCTTCGAGGGGCTCCAGAGTAACGTTTGTTGTAGTCTCTGATTTCCCCCAGAACTTCCTCTGACTGCTGGTCTGATCGACTCTCCTTGAAGAGGTGGCACAGCACGCTGACCTACAAAACAGGAAAAGCGTTTTTTTTTTCTTAGTCCACATTGACACCCACGGCGTGTTCATGATTTACAGAGGAGCCATCAGGTGATTCTACCTTCTGTCTACAGAGCGGACAGCTGATTGCGTCTAACCACGAGCCGTGTCTCCAGTAGGTGAGGAGGCAGGAAGCTGCAGAGTGAAAGGCACAACTTTTTAACACTTTTACACCGCAATCCACCTCCAGCGCAATCATTAGGAACTGAGGAGAAGTGGTAGTCCTTCAGGAAAAATGTAGCTTTCCAGAGTTTTGTAACAATGCCCTACATAGATTTCACAGAGTAAAGAGTTAATTACTCAGTATGGTGAAGGTTTAAGCTTTAACAGATAATTTCAAGGTCAAATTGAGGTTTACTTATCTCATATATTTGAACTGATAAGTGACCTTACAGTAAAGATACCCAGTTACAGTAAAAATACAACAATAGTCCAAAATAATAATACAAAAAAAATATAGTCCTACAGATGGAATAGAACTAAACTCTTTGGCAAATGCGACTGTCGACCTCTCATTGAGTTCAACTCAATGAGACGTCGAACAGCAGCCAAAATTGACGAAAAGTTAGAAAATCTATTCATAACAGCTAGATAAAGTAAAGAATTTCAGCAAATCCCTTTCACACATGAAAATGTACACGTGCATTGTGGGGAAAATCACAGCATCTGTTGAGTTGATTTTCTTTTTCATGGACAGCAAAACCTTTGTGCACACACCACTGCGAGCAGATGTGGCAGCAAATGAAAAATGAATCCAGTCTTATCATTGATAATAATGTGTCAGTGTACGTGTTTTTGCATGTGCGGTCGTACCACAAAATAAATGGCCACAGTTGGTCTGCACTGGGAATCTGGCAGTCTGCAGGCAGACCGGACAGTAACTGTCTTGTCTGCTCGTGGGCGGACATTGCTGCGCAGATTCCTGAAGACATGAGGAAAAAAGATTCAATTAAGGTAAGGAATAAAAACAGGAAAAGAAAGGGGCGGGGGCATAAAGATGACAGGAATCCAAAAAGCATGGAATTTTAGGAACTTTTCTTCTTATAAGTCTCCTTAGACTTTGTGAGTTAAAGGTGTGAATAGTTGGTTTCGTGACAGTAAACTACTTCACATTACCAGAGTGAATTTAGATGATCATCTTAGTGATGGTATGCATTCAGAGACATAAATAGACATAATTCTATGCAAGATATTAGAATCTATAAGGCACTAAAAACATGCAGAGCAGCTGTATCACCACGTGAGACTCTTACCTTATAGTGGCTTGTATACATGGATGCTGATTGCTCGGCTTTGCACACCATGAATATAGGCGACTCCAAGTGATCCCTATCCACTGAGCCCTCAGAATGTGGATGATCCAGTCTACAATGCAACGTGACATGACACGATGAAATCACCACTAAATGTAGCCTCTCACATCTTCCAGCTGGAGAGGCATTAATGATTTGTGAGATAAGTTTTACTGAGCTCAGCTTATTTCTGTTTGGGGATCACAGATACTGCTGAACTGACCACAGCAGTTTGACAGATCACAAAAATGTCTTTCAATCTTACTGTGTATTCACAAGAAAAATGAGATTTTCCAATGCCCGGGTAGAACTGACCATAAAAGCAGCAATAAAATGAAATTGACTTGAATGCCAAACAAATGAACATCACATTCCTGATTGCATCATTAAATGACATTTGCATTTATTGAGAAAGATACCCAGACAGATTTATTTTCGGGCTTTGTTTCTGTGGAACAAAACAGAACCTAAGCTAAAATTCATCACCCAAACTTTCTGTAATTGTTAAGAAAGACCACAATCCTCACAACAGAGAAAACATTAGAAAATGCAACTCACCAGGAGTGAGATCTGGGTTTTCGAGAATGGAGCTGTTCTCAAAGCAGATCTCTTCAAAGGAGGAGAGGCAGAAACTGAAGTGCTGCGTGACACCATGACTTCACAAAATAAATTTGAGCTGTTCGTTAATCATCAACCAGGCCTTCCAATACCAGCTGGAATCTGCCTGCTTAAAGAGAAACGTGCTGCGGACTGCTCAGTGAAGAACTGCTTTACAGGGTCCACACAAAAACACGCTCTCTTCAAAATACACTGTGGTCAACTATCAAAGAAAAATTATACTGATAAAGTCATCTTGTGAGGAACAGATAGGTTCTTAGACTCAGGTCACAGGCAAACAATTCAAGTCACGTGATCAGATCAAAGGCAGAAAAGATTCCTCCCTTGCTGTGTTCATAAAGATCTGAACTAGCCAATCATTTACCTAAAGTTTACTCTACCAAAACCCTGCTCACATAATATTTTACCTATCACAAAATTGTAGTATTGAAACCCATGAGAAAGAGTCTTTGAGTGTTCACCAATAACAAGGAATTCTGTGAAAAGAAATTGAAATGTTTTTACAAATTATGGTTTCCCCCCACTTTATGAATTGTGCCATTATATTGTGAGGACATTCCTGGCAGAAATGTTTGAGACTGCTGGCAAAGAGTCTGCCAAACAGTCACGCCACTGAACTCTTAGGCAATAAGAGACCAAATTGTATGATTTCCTAAGCAAAGACTGAACTATCTGGCCACAATTTCTACTATGTGAGAAGGAAAAGGCACAATAAATCGCCTAACAATCACAATTCATACAGATGGAATGATGGCAGCATAATGTCGTGGGAATGGTCTGACTTCTTACGTAATCTTATTTTTAAGAGATTACAAAAGAAATGTGTTGAAATGAAATCACAATGACTCAGAAATGTTTGATAAATGGGTTCAACTGCTTTTAAACTGAACATGCCCAGCTGTGCCCAGATTACAGTTAATTAAAAAAAGAAAACTAACTGTGAGCAAAGATATGACAACCTTCACATAGTTAATCAAGGCCTGCTGTCCAGAAATACTTTGACAAATATTGACAGTGGCACTTCAGATATAATCTGCAGTGTCAGTGTGGTTCAGGTCATCTAAAAATACTCTCCAGATGTCAAAGAGGGTCAATGTCTCAGAGTGTAAGATATCAAGAGATAAAACACCGGTGGCCACCCACTGACATTTAAAAATGGATGAGAAGAGGCTCTCGCAGGTCTTTTGGATAAAGTTCGGCCTCAGCCAATAAATACACTTCAGTATTGCTGAACATATAATTTCTACTCGTTTTTTTTTGGTTGTGTGCAGCACAGATTCATGTAATCGTGGAGTTGTTTGTTTTTTTCCACGCTGTTGCTTGAGAAAGAATCCGCATATATGATTTACTATCTTAAAGTGACTACAAGCTACAACAAGTCAAATCTAATTGTGATGCCACACCCTTCCCTCACGTGAAGTTTATGGCATTTATTGATACATGACTACAGGGAATATTGGCAGACTTGTTAGGAATTTAGTAGTTCTCTTGGCTCAGTGGTTATAATGAACAATACTCCTGTATATGTCTTGTTTACATAGTTTATATTATTATATAGTATCTAAACGGATCAACATTCCAAAAGTATTAGCTGGTTCTGCTCTTATTAACCTGGCAGGATTTTTTAAATTCTTTTCTCTGTATATCAAGTGGTTGAACATGCTTTAGTGACACACTTTTATAATTTTTTCAGAAGTTTTATTTAGGAGAAAGGATTTTTTTCACTTTACAAAAACTCCAATGTTTTGATTGTGACTTATTTATGAAGTTCAACACGAAAGCCAAATGTAGTTTTTTGATTGGTCAGAGTGTGAATTTGTAGCTGTCAATTTTCAATTAACTCAATACTGATTGGTTTAAACTCACGCCCTTCGCCCCTCCCCCTCGCTTACGCTGTATCTGCTTCCAAGGTTTTGGTACGTCGGAGTTAAGTTGCTGCGCCATTCGCGTAGACCTTACGTTATTTTATTTCGGAAATCTCCTCCTCTGTCGCCCAACTACGCATCTTTCGTTTGGAATGTACCTTTGCCAGCAGGTGAGGTCAAATGCAGTGGAACCAAGCGGAAGAGCTTTGCTGACAGGTGGAGGAGTATAATTTAGCTTTAAGCCAAAAGGGGAGCAAATGGAGGATAGTAAAACGGAGTTGGTCGACAGCCTTATGATATGGGTAAGTTTATTTGCTAAAGGGAATGCGTCGCCGAAACGGCGGAGGCTATTTATTTCACCTGTTTGTAGCCGCTGCGGTTTCCGTGAAAACACGGGCCACTTGCCAGGGGAAAAATACGGCAAATGGTTGGCATGACTAGCGGTGTTCTTTGGGAGTTTATGTCGATGTTTGAGTGAACTGCTTCAGCCTGACAAGCAGAGCCACCGTAGCAACAGCCTCTGCTGTCGGTTCGCAGTGTGGCTGAGCCAGGAGGAGAAACGGACGTTGCCCACATCCTTTCTGCGGACTGTTTATCATCAAGTTACCACCCAGCACATATAAAGACACCAATGTGCTCCGGTTTAACTAACCCTTGCTGGACTTAGACTCCTAATCCAATTATCCAGAGGATATGTGAGGAATGTTGCTCTTTGTATTTTTTTTTGTAGTTTTAAATGTGTAACTGATTAAACGTGGCCAACACCAGCAATGGTTCATCCAAACAGCAAGTAGTATCACATGCATACCTGGCTTAAAGTCTGGTTAATTTAGCACAGTTGGATTATTATTTACACGACTTTCTCTCGTTTATCTGACGTCTGACATATCTGTAACCACAACACAAATGAACTTTCTCCTACATTAGACCCAAGGCACAAACCGCTAAAGTAAGACATTTCCGTCATTTCTTTCTGTTAATTTACTATATATATACTATATAACTCATTTCATTACATTTTATTGGCACAATTAATCACAATGGACTCAATGATGACAACTAAAGCACATAAATGCACTGAGCAAGAGAATACCCTTTCTTACTTGCACCCAGTGTGAATCAGTTTAAACACCTTCTGCAGATTTAGACCAAATTCGGTGTTCATCTGCAAAATGCTCACCACATGTGTGTGCAGTCTACCAGTCTGATTTATACTGATTGACCAGACTATGTAGTCATTTTTCATATGTTATTGTTGGGTTTTGGTAATGGATGTCACTGATCTATATATATATACAAATGTATATATGTATTTGTATGTAAATGTGTGTCTATATACATTGTTGACAGATGGGAAGCTTTTAGAAATGTTTGTGTGCAGACTTGTCCCTGTGGAATGAAGATCACACACATCCGTTTGAATATTTTTACGCTTCTTAACTTAAACACCTTAATCTCTGCTTAGACTTTGGTTTCTAGATGTCTCTACCCTTAAACCTAAACATGTCTAACACTGAGGATAAACTGTAGATGTATGTATTGGTACAGTGAACAAGTTTTTCCATTTCAAACATTGTACTTCCTTAGAACTGCTTCCAAAAACCTTGTGTAGATGATATTCTTTCGTCCACTCAGCTCCAGACCTTCAACACTCCTGCACCCTGCAGAACGGTGGAGGAACTCACCACTGGAGCAGCAATGTCACAGGCACTACATCAGATGTGAGGGATCACAAGTGGATTCTTTTATTTACAGCTAGTTAAGCAAAGGAGACCTGTGTGTGTTATTTCAAAGAAGTCTTAAGGAAAAGTTGGGACTGTGCATGTACAGTTAATTCATTTACATGCTAGTTAGAAAAAAAGGATGTTTCAGTATATTGCTGTGTCCTATGGAAGGTTTTTTAGTCTGCATTATATCAAAGGCAAAACAAAAGCCTTTGGTCATGTTTTTTCTTTTAAGTATATCTAGAAATGTTCAGTAAAGATAAGATATCTGATACTTAAAATCAAAGAATATTTGATTAGTTTTAAATGTACAAGTTTACTGTGTTGTTTTTTTTTACTTTGCACTAAAATGGCAGTTTTGAAGATATAAAAGGAAAACAATGACAATGTTAAAATGTTTCTTCCATTTACATATATATGTATGTATATACATATATATATATATTCCAAGTTATAGTTAAGCCTTTATTTCCAAAAAGAAAATCTGCATTCAGAATCAGAAATACTTAAATAATCCCAGAGGGAAATTATTTAACATGGCTGATTAATTTAAACATAATAGTACAATATAATGTGAGTGGGATTTATCAAGAGATCATTCGTATAAGTCTTCTATTTCTTTTGTGCTCCAGAGACCCAGCATGGTTCTCTGATGCATGGCTGAGTCGTTTGAAAGCAGATGTTGATGACAACTGGAGGCTGAAGGTACGGAGCATCACCATATCCTCTGTCCACCATCTGTCCCTACTGGCATTTCTCTTCTTATTTTGCTGTTTGTTTGCTTGCTTCAAACCTGCCTAACTGTCCTTGACCCTGACCACCAACCTGCTCCGCTGGTGCTGCTCCTGGCTTAGTCTGCACTCTGACCCCACGCTCTGACTCCTCTGGTGAAATGTGTGCATGTATGTGTGGAATTCTCTTTGATTTGCTTTAGTACGGTTGGTGCCCCCCCCCCCCCCCCATCCCCCTTTTCCCTTTTTATGGGATTTTGAGCCTTTGTTATATACACATTTGCCATTGCATTTACTGTTAAGCCTCAATGTCTGCTCTGAGAAGGGCCTGATCTCTCTGTGTGTTTGAAAAGTGTCACGTCTTTGTTGTTGCATGGCCATGTCTTGTCTTGGGCTGGGAACTTCATTGTGACTTGGCCTTTTTTATTTGTATTTCTTTAAACAAAAAGTGTAATCATTTTTAACTGTCTCCTCAGATGAACAATCTGAAGAAGATCCTTCAGATGGTGGTTGACTATTACAATGAGGTACGAAATACATCCCTTGTTTTTGCAGCATTTTTTGATGATTGGTTGAAATTTAAACTCTGCGGTTCAGTGTACTCCTTCACCTATTTAGGGAGCGGACCTGAAAGTGTGGGGGGGGAATAATTTCTGCAGCTCAAATCATGTTTGATGTCTGCAGTGTTGCATCCATTTAGCAATATTCAGAAAGTATTTCCCTCAGAAAGCTTGTTTATGTACGTTATTTCTGTTTTTCTACTGTCAGGTCTTAGCCCAAGAAATCTCAGACTTCCCTTTGCCGGACCTGTCCCTGGTGGCTGAGCATTCAGACCCTGAGCAGCTGGGCAGGCTCCTGCAGCTCATACTGGGTTGTGCTGTCAGGTGTGAACACAAACAAGGTATGTCACAACTGGTAGTTTGACAGGAAACTCTATAGTCAGGCTGATGCTTTTTTGTTTTTCTGTAATTGTCTGAAAGTCTGAGCTGTGCACACATTATCCACTGCATTGCATTTAGAGGATGCAAAGATTACAAAGATTGCTCTCGATATTTTGGCAGAGTACATTCAGATCATCATGACCTTGGAGGAGTCAGTGCAGCATGTCGTCATGACAGCCATCCAAGAGGTTAGTTCATTCAGTTTTTCTCTTTTTGTGGATTTGAGGGATTAGAGATGTCCTGAGCAGCTCTCCTAAGCACTTGTGCAGTTTGGATACCGGTCATGGAGTTTCTTAAAAGGGTTTCGGCAGCAGCTTCTTTGTTGACGGAGAGCAGAGTGCATGTGCTATCGTATGGTGAAATTAGGTTAAGGCTTTGGAGTCCTTTCAATCTGTGTGTGTAATAAATCCAGTGACATTTTCCTCTTCAGCTCCTGAGTAAAGAGACCATGGCCCCTTTTGGACCGGAGCTCTCAGGGGACATAGAACAGCAGGTCAGTGTTGTTACTGCAGCTTTTACCTCCCCTGAATGGGATTGTAAACTGCTGGTGACCATTGCCATAACATTCACTCACATAAAATTGATTGGGAAATGCAATTTTTACATGCATTTAATTTTCAGTAAAGGATTTTAGCAGGGCAGCAGTCACAGAGAATGATTTCAGGAAGTCTTCTATATGCAGTCAGGACAGAGTCGTCTTTGTTTTCAGTGTAATACTGCATGAAAGTCTGTATTTTTTCTTCATAGTTTTTATTGTATTACGTGCTGTAGATGTTTCCATGTTCAGTCTTCTCAATGTTTTTGAACATAATTTTAAAATTGCTCCAACATTTGATTAGCTGAATCTGTTTCCAAGAGCGCTTTAATATCACTGTGCATGTTTTGTGAATCCTGTCCCTCTTTTATAGAGAAATTCAAGATTTAATTTAATCTTTCATTAGATGTTTCCTTATTGTAATCAAGATATTGGTGTCTGAAATTTACAGATCAGTGAAATATGTTTCTATTTAGATTCTTGTACAGCATATTGACTGTTTTTACACTCGAGGTTAGATGTAGCACATAGATGAAGAGCTGAGTTTAAGAGCTGAGTATTTCAGCCAAACCTGTCTGTTTTAGCTAAATGCAGAGTGGTACATATGATTGGATCCTAACTAAGTCTCTTACTTGTACTGGCAGTTAAAAAAAGCTCTTGAGGAGCTTGCAGAACTTCTGTCGGAAAAAGAAACATTAGTCCAACGCTGCCAAGAGCTGGACATACAGGTAAAAGTAGAGCTGACACACACACACACACACACACACACACACACACACACACACACACACACACACACACACACAAACAAACCACACGCGCGCGCACACACACAGAGTAAATCAATCCCACAGGAACATATCTGGTTTATTCCTAAATTCAGGCTATCATCAGTAGGTATTTTGTAAGTTTGCTGCTTGTCAGCTCTCTGCACTAAGTCTGTGTTCATACATGCATGCCTCTGGTACAGTTTAAACAGAAGTCATGTAATTCGCTGTAATGCTTGGGCCCATTGTCTGGAGCTGCTGTGGCAGAATGACTATGGGCTTACAGTCTCTGCTCTGCTGCTTCCACTGCGGCACCCAGCGCGTACTCTGCCTCTGGTAGAAGGCCACATTCAGGACTGTGCAGGCGAACTGACTTTAGCTTAGGAACTGACCAACTCTTCAACTGGACTCTCGACAGATTGACTCGATCTGTCCCGGGTCTTGCACATCTCTTAGCGCAGCGAGGTAAGTCCAACATGGCGGATTTTGGGGTAAAACTAAACGCATCTAAACCAGCTGCTGAATTGTTCACTCTAACTCAGCTAACAGGTGGCTCGACCAGGGTCTGTTTAACCAAAGTGAGAAGACGTTTTTCTCATTTTCGTGTTTCTAACAGTAACCTACCTCTGAACCTCCGTCCCCTTTGATAACCTCTTTGTCGTCTTCTTTATGACATTAAGACATATAGCAAAGCATTTACATTAAACATAATATAAACCTCAACTATGTACACAGTTCTTGTTAAAGGTGCAAATGGCTCTTTAGACGGGTTTTTCTTGTTAATTCAGTTTAATGTTGAAAGCAGGATTCTGAATAATAGGATGCTGATGACTTGTCCCCAAGCTAATAGTTCAGTGTTTCAAACTTAAAACTCAAAATAGATTCTTTCTCACAATGGATGGAAAGGAAAACTAACCAGCCGTTTATTAATGTTTGCTTAAAGTGAATTTCATGTGTTTTATGCTTCCAGCATGTTCGCTTTAACAGGTGGTTATTTTTACTAAAAAGGGGGCTTTTGATGCTGAAATGCTGCTTTGCATGAAGTAATTAAGCTGGGGATAATTTCCCCCTGTCATTCACCTAAGTTCCCACACCAGTGCTCAAGACACCAGCTGTCACAGCCCATTTTTCCTGTTTAGGTGACCGCTCTTCAAGAGGAACGAAACAGCTTACTGGCTGAAAATGATGTCCTAACAGACCGCGCCAACCAGCTGGACACAGTTGACAATCCAAGCACACTCTCAGGGAGAAAACACAGTCATCTGCAGCAACAACTGGAGACGCTGCAGGAAGAAAACTTCAGGTGTGTCACTTTCCTATTGAAGTGACCTTAGCTACCTTATTAAAATCCAATCCAAGATGATTATGCTGTCTTTCCAGACTGGAGGCTGCCAAGGATGACTACCGGATCCACTGTGAAGAATTGGAGAAGCAACTGATTGAACTTCAACATCGTAATGACGAGCTCACCGGCCTGGCAGAGGAGTCTCGGGCTCTCAAAGACGAACTAGATGTCCTGAGGTGTGTGTCCGTATGTTTGTGGCAGACAAATAGTAGCCATATAGCAAAATGCCTTTTTTACAATGAAGTCTCAAGATCCAGCAATGGTGACAGCTTGTGTGTTTAAGTCCTTTGTATCTACATCTAATGTAGCATTTTGAAAATGAAAATGTTTCAACTTAAAGGAATAAATATCCTAATCTGACATATTCCTTTTTTCTCATTAAAAAAAATCAAGGTTTGTTTTATACTCCTGAATGCTTTTATTTGTATGCTTGATTTATACTATCTAAGAATTACACCTCACCTCTGATATGTTCAGGCTTTAACTGTGTGCCTGAAGCCTTCACCACCAAACTCGACTTGTTGAATTCTTATAGGAACTGCTCAGATCGGGTGGTGATGCTGGAGGCTTCGGTGGATACTTACAAGCGTAAGCTGGAAAACCTTGGCGACCTAAAGAGGCAGATGAAGCTGCTGGAAGAGAATAACATGACTTACATGCAAAACACTGTCAGCCTGGAGGAGGAGCTACGTAAGGCCAACGCCGCTCGGGCCCAACTCGAAACATACAAAAGACAGGTGTGTCCTGCACAAAGTACGCGATTAAAGCACCATAGTATGCATTTTTTTTGTGTTGACTGTTGTTAACATATTTTAGCACAAGCCTGAGGGAATGGAATGTGTTTGTCTCAGGTCCAGGAGCTTCACAGGAAGCTGTCCGAGGAGACGAGACGAGCAGACAGCCTGGCCTTCGAGATGAAAAAGTTGGAGGAGAAGCACGAAACGGTGATAAAGGAGAAAGAGGTGCCACACCCTTTGACATGCGTCAGCCTCGATAGGAGGTAAATACTTAGTGTGACAAAACAGTTGTTCTGCTGCTTCAAAAATCTCTCCTCCGCCAGAGGATCATCATTGAGAGAGACTCTCTCAAGGAAATCAACGAGGAGCTGCGATGCACTCAGGTTCAACAGCACCAGCTCTCTCAATCAGGTACATCTGCGGACAATCCTCTGCCAGCGCCAAGGCTGCTTACAGTTGGCTCGGTGGTAGAGTTTTAAACGGTCTTTAATGTTCCCCTGCCCAGGATTGCTTTCCTCTGGCAGCCCCAGCCATGAAAACTTGGCAGCAGAGCTGATACCTATTGAATACAGGTCATATCACTTTACTCACTGTGGCTTGTGTCCCTTTCATCCCGGTGTGGTGTATGAACACTGACATTGTGTAAATGTCCAGGGAGAGGTTTATCAGACTCCAGCACGAGAATAAGATGCTACGGGTGCAGCAGGAGGATTGTGAGCGGGAGAGGATCGCCAGCCTGCAGGCCCAGCTGGAGGAGGCTGATAAGACCCGCAGCAACCTGGACACTGAGAACAGGTCAGCAGAGTTCCTATTGGACCGTTAGTGATTTTTGATGCTTTAAAAAAATCCTTCCTGCATGTGAACACGCCTCTGCTTGTGGGCTCATCTCCAGACTGAGCAGAGAGCGGATCAGTGAGCTACAGCAGCAGGTGGAGGACCTCCAGAAGGCTCTGCAGAGTCAGGCTGCCAAACCTGACGATGTAAGTGTGCCAACAGGCACTAGCACCAACACAGAGGGAGAGAGAGTTTCCCACAGAGTTAATCTTCAGCTTTTACATTTTGTGATACCAAAGAAACGCAAGAAAGTCTTTCTGAGTTTTCAGTGAGTGTTTGAACGTTATTAAGAGGTTAAAGCTCTAAGGTTGGTTATTATGAATTGCTTTGACCTGATTTCTTCTCTCTCTTTTTTCTTTTTTTTCAGTCAAATCTAAAGCGGAAACTGGATGCACACATGTGAGTTTGTGACTTGGATTTTTTTTTTCTTTCTTTGACAGCAATGTAAAGCTGATTCTTTGTGCTTTGCAGTAGAATAAAGAACTTTTGGTTTCCTTCAGGGTCCAACTGAATGAAGCTCAGGACGAAATCATGAAGAAGAAAGAACTACTGGAGGACTTGCAGCCTGACAACACTCAAACCTGTAAGTTTCATGTTTTACTGCCCTCTCAGACTGCTTCCAACTAAAATGAAGAAGGCCTCATGGTTTTCTTGTATCTAAGCCTTGAAGCTGGATGAGCTGATGGCTGCTTTAAAGAAGAAAGATGACGACATGCGAGCCATGGAAGAGCGGTACAAGATGTATCTGGAGAAGGCTCGCAATGTGAGTTATTTTGCACTATTTTTATTGATCCTTTTTAAATTTAGGTTGACTTGAATATGATATCATTGCTTTCCTTGTTGCTTATAGGTTATACGAGCATTGGACCCTAAGCTTAATCCTGCCAATGCTGAGATCCAGGCCCTGAGGAACCAGTTAGCAGACCGGGAAAAACAAATTCTCAACCTTGAGGTAAGATCTCTTTTTAACCAAAGTTTAGAATACATAAGACATATGGGGAGATTTTCGTATTTCCCCATCTAACATCTGTTGCTTATTTTTCTCCAAGCGCCAGTGTGAGCAGGCCAGACTCAGAGAATATGAGGAGAAACTGATCGTGACAGCCTGGTATAACAAGGTAGTGTGATATAGACTGGACCATTTACCTTCTGCGTGTTTTGAGAGAACTTACCGAACTTCCTCTGACATCAAGTCTTTTCCTGCCTTCAGAGTCTGAGCTTTCAGAAGTTGGCCATCGAATCTCGTCTTGGGGGCCGCAGTCCTACCACGCTGTCCCCCGGTCAGTCCTTCTTGACTCAGCAGCGGCAAGTTTCAAACGCCCCACGCCGGGCGTCTTCAATCAGCGTGCCTGCCTCTACCTCAAAGTAGACTGCCACTGAGCCAAATGCATCATCCTGTTCAAACAAGGCAAAAAACACACCCTCACTCCCCTCCAAGAAGTGAGCACGCAAGTGACCTTAAACACATCTGCTCAGCCTTTGTGGGGAGGTCAAGGATAAGCTGATCGGGATCAGTAAGCACTTATTTATCAAAACGCCCAACAGGTCACCCACCTGAGGTTATAGCATACTGTCCTACTGTACATTAGCCTAAAAGATGACCTTGGTAAGAGCATTAACCCTTGAACTCCCCTCACTGCAAACCACTCTTTTTTTCCCCCACAGCCTCTGCTGGATACCTTCTTTAATCAGTTTGGTCTTGGCTCTTCTTCTATTCAGTTATTTGTCGGAAATGCAACAACTGTAGATTACTGCGCACAGCAGATTGATGAAACTGTGCTTTAAGAGATCACTTTTCTATTTGGTGCTGGCCGCCAACAACCTTTAAGCATCAAACTTCTGGCACTTAAAACCATTTTTATTTTGGTATTAAACTGAATAAGCCTGTCATTTCAGAAGCTGGTAAAATGCTGTAAATCCATCAAACCCCATCAACATTTTTGATGCTGCAACAGAAACATTTATCAGAGAAAATGGATATTTCTTACAGAGTGAATCTAGGAATGGTTTATTACAGATTCTATTCTAATTCTTCACAGTGATGTACTGGCAGCATGCTCCCAGTAACAACTTAACTGGCCTTTCTATTCACTGAATATCTTGAATGTTATTTAGCTGCGAGTAATCAAGACGATGACTAAAAAATGACCAATTGTAATGGAGACATGATCTAACACCAGCTTTTGATTCCTGTTTGAAAACCATGTTGAGTAATCTTACAGTACATGCAAACTTGTTTATTTATGATTATGATAGTTAATCTTGTATTCAGGCGGTGACATTTGAGCGTCAGAGTGAAAAGCACTGACGAAGAGCAGGTATTTGGCTGTCTGATGGCGCACAGCTGATGTTAAACAGCTATAGTTTCACTGCTCATTGCCTTTGCAGCTCCAGCAGCAGTAAAGAGGCATTCTGTTGTGCTGGATATTTAGGTGATAAAAGGTTACGTTGCTTTAACTTCTCCTTTGCAGTGAATAGTTAATTAGATTTCTGATTTAAAAGCGGTGTCATTTATATAAATAGTACAATCTAACGTAGCACAGCAAAGTGACCCCATTTGTGGCGTCGTATATGTGTGTGTAAAGTATAAAATAAAGGCATTAAGACTTTTCAGGAAATTGGAGATATGACTCTTTAAAGGATTTGTTGTTGGGTTTTTTTCTGTGAATGAATAAATATGTTTTCTAAACCCAAAACAGTATATTCTGTGATGCCAGCAGCAGCTCGGTTCCATTGACTGTTACCAAACAAAACCGTTGTCCGATGTTTTTTTATTTTTATTTACAGCAGGTTCCACATCATCCTGAAGTCCATGTGATCATAAAGCAGCATTTAGAAACCATCCAATCAGAGCTAATACATACTGAATTTATCGCTATAAGAGAAAAAATCGAAAATACTTTGTCATATTAATTTCTTTTGTTGGAGTTAGTCCAAATCCATTTTGAAATGAGATGTACTTGGGTTCTGTTGGTGCCTGGTGGTTAGTGAATTATAGCGCATCGGGGAAATGACAATTCATCAGTCACACATATGTTATTGTCTGCTTCACCCTCTCTTACCCCATCAAACAATTCTATAGCAGCTCTACTCTCAACCAGTAAAAAGGCACCACGCTGGGTATTTATATCAACCACAATTGTGTCAGATTCTGCGCACACACATTAAATCTGTTTTCAGTTTTCCTGCTGCATCTAGTCTTCAGCTCAGAGTCTGTAATGCTCAGCGGGACTTTGCTAAGATCTTAAAAGGGTACGGAGTGCGTGTGGCTCCGGTTATTCCTTCTTCATTCAGCTCCACTCCCTCCCGAATGGAAAAATGAAACTTTTGCAACAAACTCACAAAAAACAAAAACATCTCCATCCTTGCCAGGCCCTCTCCGAGACATGCACGTTTCCCTGGAAAGGAGAAGTATCGCTGTAGTATATGTCATCACAGAAGCGCCCAGCATCAGCAGCCCATTGTGAATTTTTAAAAGGGATGCTGTGGGCCGGGGATGATTGGAAAAACATCAAGTGCTTTGTGTTTGGACTTTAACTGTGATTGTTACCTGCAGAGAAAGGGAGGAATGCCTCTTTTCGAACAAACTTGCCGTCAGCATCCAGGAAGTGTTCAGGGTTGAAGACGTCAGGAGTTTCCCATTCGTTTTTGTCAAACAGCACAGAGGTGAGGTTGGGCATCACAGCGGTCCCCTGCACGCCCCGAGACCAACATCAGAACAACGTGCCAATGGAAAGTAGCCACTCCTCGTTTGTATTATGAAAACATTCTTTCTTAACCTGAGCAACCTGACCATTGACCATTCTGCCACTGTGACTGGTACACTCAAAAAGTTGGTCAGACGCACCTTTGGTATAAAGTAACCCCCTAGTGTTGTGTCCCTGGCAGCCATCCTGAGCCCATTGAGCGGAACAATGTTTCCCATCCTCTGGATCTCATGTATGACTGCATCAGCGAAGGGCATCCTGGGTCTGTCTGCCATGGTGGCCCAGCGGGTCTGTCCAACCACTCTGTCTATCTCTGCCTGGACTTTGTCTAAAAGTAAAGTGTCATTTAGTTATTGATCTCTCTTTCTCTCTCTGTATGTATAAACATATACTGTATATGTAGTATATATTTGTCATGTGACCCGACCTTGGATGAGAGGGTTCTTGATTAGGTAAATAAGTCCCCACTGCAGAGTTTTCGAAGTGGTTTCACTTCCAGCCAGGAACAGATCCAAACAACACAGAACCAAGTTTTCCTCTTCAAAGCCCACATCTCTATTTCTGTTGTGCTGTCAGCAGAGTGGATGGGGTTGAGCAGCAGGGAAGAGCCAGTACTGAAACACGATATCTGAACTGCACTGGTAATCTGAATGTGAGCGCCGTACCTTCTCCTCCACGAGGAATTTATCGATGTAATCTCGTGGGTTGCTGGGGTCCAGATCCAACTTGTGTCTCTCTATCTCTCTCCTGATAGAGGCTTTTAAGGATTTGGAGCTGCTGAAGATGCCGTTGTGCGGCCCTGGCAGGTGTTGCATCAATGTGGGAAATGCATCGTACAGCTGTGAAGAGAAAGTAAAACAACACACACACACAGTATTAGCGGTCTCCTTAAAGCACATGGAAGATTTTCATTGGGTGAAAACCTCAACTGATCAGGTTTTTCATTTGTCAGTCGCATCAGCCTGTTTTTTTGTTGGATTGATGTAATTTATAACTGATGTGTTTGAGCTGGGTTTATGTCTTACTAGAGCCCATATGGAGCCTTCCAAATAGGCCATGTCAGTCAGATTCTTCAGCATACTTTGAAAGTTGCGGTCATTGTAGTCAAACCGTCTTCCAAAAACAATCTGGCAGATGATGTTGGACACAGCGCTGTTCAAGAGTGGTGCAGGGTCGAAAGGCTCACCTGAAAAGAGGACGTGTCTTTAGCCACAGTGCAAAATGTGCGGATTGTGCTTTTTCATTCCCCCACATCCCCCACGTCTTTTTGTCTGCTGTCAACCTTCCTTCTTCTTCATCTCCTCCTGCAGATGGCGACTCTCCTCACAGATGGTCTGCTCCATGGAGCTTCTTGCCAGACCAAAGGTGCGTAACATGGCCATGGCAAAACGGCGCTGTCTCCTCCACACCTTCCCATTACTGAAGAAAAGCCCACCTGGCAAAGGTAAAGAAAGCTAACACTCTCGGGGACTGGTGTCCGGTGGAGTTCCTCTGTGCTGATGGGCGGCCAGAGTGTCAACGCCTCGTTTGCGACACTCACCTGAGTTCCCTGAATAGATTCTGCTCACCATGGGGCTGTAAGGCCGGTCCACAAAGTTTTCGGCCTGTGTGACCAAAGCCTCCTTCACCATCTTCCACCCAGACACAAACACTGTTTTGTTTCTTCCCAGACGTATGCAGAACACATTCCCGTAAACATCAGCAAGCTGCAGATGCAAAAGCACAGAGAGGCCTGTTGTCAAGCATGTGACCCTGACGCACTGATGAATTCAGCGGAATTGTTTTGTCCTATGACCAATCTTCATCAAGTTTAACATTATCTATTACTAAAATACATTTGAGCGACAAAGACATTTCTAATAATTTCAAATTCCAAAGCCCAAAAGTAAGCCCAAGATTGTGTTGTGAAGAAAGTTTATCAGAGCTATTAAGTCTTTTTTTTCTTGCAGTTGAAGATCCCATTCATGTAGATTTCTCAGTATCGGGGAAGTATGCAGTAAAGTAGAGCGATGTCTTAATGCTGCCGGCTTACCTTGGTGAGATAGATATGCGGCTGTTTAGACTCAATACTGAAGATGTTCCCCAAAACAGGGAGAGCTGGTGGTCCTGGAGGAAAGCAAGGCACATCCCTTTTGCCCAGAAAACATACCAGAAGGAGAAATGCTAAGCAGAAAACCAGGATCCACCTCAGAGTAAGCCACTGGCATAAGTCACAGAGCAACATTGTGCCTAGATTTCCAGAGGAAAGAAGCGGGGCACCGATGAGCTCGCTTACCATCCTCCATTCCAAATAAGAGATGGACAACTACTCTGCTGACTCACATCTTGGCCAGATATGAAGTGTGTGACACTGAGTCAGGCAAGTGGAAGAGAAATGCCGGGTAAACAATGCTGAAAGGAATGATAAACTGCAGCGAAAAGAGAGACGTTCTGTTTTCTGTCTTTGCAGAGACATTTTATAAAATCTGTAAATACATGCATTTCATGATTTTTATTTTTACCTAAACCAATAAATGACTCGGTAAAATCTGCCCAACCATTAAATACTTTGGAAAAGTGCTTCAAAATGCAGATAAATTATAAGTTTGCATTAATAATGTTAATAATAATTTGTTTGTCTGATGGCATTCATACCCTGATATACTATGACCAAATATAAAGTGTACTACCAAAGAATACAAACAGGATCTCATCTGAGGGAGCAGTCACTTAGTTGAGAAGGGCTAATAATGAAAAGATAATGCAACTTCATCTCCAAAAGAGTCTGTCCCACCACTCTGTCAACCTCTTCATGGACTTTATTTGTAAAATGAAATCAAATGGCCGTGATACCTCTAAAGAAGCGATATTCTTTTGCTTTGCAAATTTCCTGCTTATGGCTTTCATGTCTTGGATGGATGCTCTGTCCTTTTCATTCAGGCAGAATATGTGGGTGATGGAAGTCTGAATACGTAATAAGGCAATTCAAATTGCATGGTTCCAATGACACAGAGGGTTAGCTGTAGATAAGATGATGCTGCTCGATGTTTGTTTGTTGTTGTTTGGTGTGACTTAAAGGTGAATTTAATTGGGTAACGTAGATGTTTCAGTTTGTCTTTCGGTAGCAGCTCCCGTAAGTTTCCAACATTGTCCAAAGTTTTCAAATCATGACAGATTTTGCAGCTCCTTTCAGGTCTTATTAGCACACCATCCTGTATTCACTTTGACATATCTGGTCAAACAATTTCTCCATCCCTGTTTGAATCCCTACTTTGAAATCTGAATGTGGTCGTTCTGAAACTTGCCAATAGATGGCAGAAAAGTGCAACATTTTTGTTTTCACACAGTTCAAAAGAGAAGAAATTAAAAAGCAAAAGAAGAAACACTGTGTCTTTGCAGAAGCGGCTGATCCAATTTGGGGGGGATTAAAGTTTAGATAAAAAAGTCTGCCAAATTAAGAAGCAGAGATTTGCATTTTTTTAAATGAGAAATTGAGCATAATTCACATCTTATTTAAAAGACAATAGCACAGAAAGACAAATCTCAGGAGTTTCCTTTCTTTGAAGTAATAGTGTCTTTTATTGAATTTGTTGAAGCTTGATATATTCATTTTTTGCAATAGCTGTTACAATATATCATATATATAAGTGCACAGATATTAAACTATAAACCAGACATACACAGACTATTAAAACCTGTCAAGCATTGATGATATAACTTACTTTAATTGATCAGTCATATATTGAGTGCAAGATGTATACATAAACATATATGTTTTTTGTGGCTAAATTTGCAGAGGAAATGCTTGCAAGAGCCCTGCGATGGACTGGACAGGGTGACCCCGCCTCTCACCCATTGACCACTGGCTTAGGCTCCTGTTCTCCCCGCGACCCCATTAGGGAATAAGCGGTAACAATAATGGATGGAAGAAATGCTTGCAAGATTTGTGAATCTATTTTTAAGCTCATCATACAGTGTCTCATCCTCTTGGTTTAGTTTGTCAGCGCAGGACAGCCAGCACCCTGAAATCCTGAGGCGATTGGGTGAAGCCCTGCACGGCCTCTAAGCCCGGCAATTCTCCCGGAACAGGCAAAAAAGTGAAGCACTGCAGCAGAGATGTGAAGAAAAGAAACAGCTCCATTTTTGCCAGGTGTTCCCCTAAACACACTCGTTTACCTGTGGGGCAGAAAAAAGATGGTGATGCACTTATTCACATCAGTGTTGGCAAGCTGCACATAAAACTGGAACTACAAGAGGGCAGACGACAACCTGCTGAAAAGGGTAAGAAGGCATCTCTTTTGAGGAATTTGCCCTCTAAATCCAAGAAATGCGAAGGATTGAAGACATCTGGGGTTTCCCACTCGCTCTTGTCAAACAACACAGATGAAAGGATGGTAGTAATAGCTGTGCCCTGGTTAAAAAAAAGAAGAAAATGAAGAAAGAAAAGTCATATTGCTAACAATTTTAGCTCTGTTCACGTGAGTAGCACATTTTACAACATAACGTTCACCCATTTGAGACTCTTCCCACCTTTGGAATGAAGTATCCTCCCAGTGTAGTGTCTTTACTGGCCATTTTTGGAAATCCCAGAGGAACAATATTTCCCATCCTCTGAGTTTCGTGGATGACAGCGTTGGTGTAGGGCATGTTGGGTCTGTCTGCCATGGTGGGCTGACGAGACTGTCCGATCACTCTGTCTATCTCCGCCTGGACCTTCTCTGAGACAGGAAGGAGAGAAGCAGATGTGTCTGGTGATGTTCACAGGAATATTTGAGCTATCACTTGATTAGAAAGACTGACCCTGTATCTCTGGGTAGTGCATCATGAACAGAATAGCCCAGCGTAATGTGGTAGCAGCAGTTTCTGTTCCAGCTTCAATTAAGTCAAGTATGGCAACCAGAAGGGAGTCAATGTTGAAGCCGGCCTGGGGATCCTCTTTTTTCTTATTTGGAAACATAAATGACATATCTTATCACATTACACAACATCCATCCATACAATTTTGATATCAAGTTATTCCAGGTGGCTATAGCTATAGCCCTGCACTGTAAATGACTTTTTCTGCAGCAGATTGTTTTGAAATTCCATAGTAAGAGCTCAGCAAGGGAGCAAAACAACCAGAACAAGAAGCAGAAGGCTGTATAACTGCACATGCATACTGTATATAGCATCATACTCAGACTGGCATGATATGTCAGGAAAACATCCATTTAGTCTGTTTTCTTATTTGACCTCCATAGAAATGAAAATAACATGCAAGTCTGCATTGTTAGCGATTCAAAGTGATGCTGGTTTGACATAGATGTAAAATGTCGAGCTCATTGTAGTGGGATGTGGTCAACGGGCTTATTGTGAGTAATTTGGATGCTTCTACTTTGGTTTCAGTGGAAATAAGATCCAACAGGATTTCTTTTTAAATGACATTTGTGCATTTGACTCATGTTACCTTCTCAATCTCTCCCAGGTATACATCGATAAAATCCCGGGGATCATCTGGGTTCCACTCCTCCTGATGCTTCTCTATTTCCAGTTTCAGAAAGTTTAGTATTTTGTAGTAGTTGGCATGAATAGTCTGGTGTGGTCCTGGCAGGTACTTAAGCAAGCCGGGGAAGGCATCGTACAGCTGTTGATGGAACCATGTCTCAGGTCACAGACCAGATGTATGTTTTGTGATAATAGCTGTGTGAAACATTACCTGTGCCCGAGTTGTGCCAGCAAGCAAAATGGCTTCATTGTCCAACTTCAGAAATCTGCGAAAACTCGAGTCAGAGTATTCAAAGCGATGCCCAAACAGCACAGAGGAGATGATGTTGCCCACAGCATTCGTTATGTCATACTGAGGGTTGAACGGTCTTCCTGGAGAGTTTGTGAGTTAGATGGAAATCAAACTGCAAAACGGAGTGCACACCTAAAAGTTTTATACAGAATACATGTTTACTTCACTCACCTTGTTTCTCTTTGAAGGCCTCACAAATGAAGTTGCACTCCACTTCAAGATACTTTTCCAGGGATTTCTGACCTTCTCCAAAATAACGCAGGTGAGTATTGGCAAACTTCCTCTGCTTCTTCCACAGGTAACCATTACTCATTGCTATGCCTAAAAAGTATTACATTAAATGTTGTTATCTTTTAAAGATTCTGGGTGAAAATTTGGGAGAGTAGTTTCTTCCTGAGAAAAGGGGGAATAGCACACACATAGCAGTAGCACACAACATTTAGACTTTGTTAACTTACCAATGCCCTTAAAGATCACATGGAAAAGAGGGACAACTGGTCGGTCAACAAAGCTATCCAGCTGGTTAACAAGAGCCTCTTTGACCATCTTATACCCTGAAATGAACACCATCCTCTCACTTCCTCTTCTCAAGCTGAAGACGGGGCCATATTTTTGAGTGAGCTGCATTTGAAAACACATTTCATCTCAGAAAAGAACATTTCACGAAGAGTGTTGTGTAGTCCAAGAAAGTAAAGGCCATACATGGCAGTTGGAAAGTGTTCAAGTTGTAAATGATTACATAACATAATCTGTGCATGGGACATGGGTAAAGGACAAGGCCTAAACCCTGTGTGTCCAATCACAGTATCAGATGATTAATCAAACAATGGTCCCATCATATAAATGCTGTTTGCTGATTTTATATCTGTTGTCTATTTTTTCTATCCATATACACATATATGTATATGTGTGTGCCAATTTTCTAATACATGTTAAACTTGTACTATGTAAGTCTACACTCTAAGAAACACAAATTCACATACCAGTTAATATAAGTTACAAAGTGTCTAAATGGTAAATGATTACAAGGTAAAGGATATATATATATATATCTTAAAGGTTTTTCCCCTGACCTTTTCCAATGTTTCGCAGTCCGTTCCTGTGAAAACATTTCCCAGCAGGGGTACAGCCAAGGGTCCAGGAGGATAGTCATTACGCCTCCAGTTTTTTACCACATCCAATAAAATTAGTAATGCAAAACCCAACAACACCCAAGAGGAGAAGTCCATTTGGTCATAAAGAGCTTGAAAAATCATGATGAATCCACTGAGCAAAGCTCGCTGCAAAACTCAAGTTTGATCCTGCTGGGAGGATCATGTGTGTAGAGTAAACCGGGTGAGGCGCGCTGGGTACAAAAGAAAAGAAAAGAGCTATAGCATTGTTACGTAACCATTGTCCTATCTGCATTGAAAAACTAGGCTAAAGGTGGGAAGTTCTCCAACGATACACAAATTCTGCTAATGGTGCATATGTGCCAGGACACTTTATCAGTGGATATAAAGTTTGTCGTACATGGAATGTTCTGTTTATCCAACAGTTATAAAAGAACGATCCAAAAGTATTTCAAAAAGTTAAAGAGTATGTGTTTCTCTATGTGTTCACTCTGAGAATGAACTTTATACCAAGATTCCAGACTCACAGAAAAGTAAACAATCCGTTCCCTCCCTCCACAGCTGTTTCTCTTCATGATGAAAAGTGTCTCGTTTTTGCGTGCTCTGTGAACTATTTACAGGAAGAGAGGCACATTTTTCTAATTCTCTTTTCCAGTTTGTTAGAATACAGAAATATTTGTTTTCATAAGGTTTTTTAAAAATAATTCCAAGAGTAAAATGTTATAATTTTATGATAATATTTATCATAGGTGGGCATTTCCAGGGAACAATTCAATTTGAAAGATTACAATGTTGTACCAGCAATTAGATCTTTTAGCCAGTTTGATGTAGTTAAACCACTTTGAACTTTACTTTGAATCAAATGTTAAGTGTATTCATAGGAGCATGTGTTAGAGGAATGAGCGTTAATATAATTCAATACCACGCCCATGAGATATAAATTAATGTGTGAATTTGTAATCAATTAGCTCTTGTGAATAATTTTTAATCAAGTAGCAATATATGACCCAGTTAGCAAAGCTTTTCCACGCACAGGTTAAACTGTGGCGTCAGGCTGTGGCTCTGATCATATGGGACATTTAAAAAGGAAAAAGGTGGTTAATGCAGCCTTTCAAAACCTTTAATTGAAGCTACATTCCTGACCCAGATGCCCTCCCGCTGAGGCCTGGGAAAAACTTGAAAGCATGTGGTTAGAGTTTGTGCACACCAGTGCAAACAGGTCAGCTATACACGGTGAGCCTCTCCTTTCTTGAGTGTAACTTTGTGCTGGGATTTCATAGAATAATCATTCACAATCATGTAATACTGGTATATCTTGCTTTTCTTGTTTCGCGGCATAAATTTGCCAGAATATTGATGCTGTAGGTCTTGTCTTCCATCACTGCTTGCCAAACATTTTGTGCACTGTAGTAACTCAAAGCATTCTGTGCATATTCTTTGTGGCTGACCACAGAGATTTACTGAATTACTTAAAATAAGAGGTCTGGAGTGTATGTTTCACTGTCATTTAAACTTTATTTATAATGCAGAATTAACTGAATGTACATTTGTTTGTATGTTTTTTTAAAAGCTGTCAGTTTGCGAGACACAATTTCTTAACACTTTTCATAAATTACACAGCTGAACAGTACTCCAAACATAATCTGTTTGATAAATCAAAGAAACGTTTATTTGCATGCTCTCTTCAAGATTCGGGTTTGCAATCCACATTGGGTTATTTTTTGCATTTTCGATAGACAGTACAGTACTTTTACATCAGGTATTTTTCAGAATTTATTTGACAGGTATAATGCGCATGGATAAAATCAAATGTAAAATGTGATCGAGCAAGCTAGAAGGCTATTTTTCCCCTGTTTGAACATAGAATTTTCATACATTTTGTCGTTAATAGTGTTATTCACAGAGTTGACTTGTAAAGATACCTGTCAGGTAGAATCAAATGTACAGCAAAAGAGAATGAACTGGTTTCCATCCAGCAGGAAATTCAGCTATAACTCAAAAACATATTCCCTTGGTTTCCAATTTTTTTTTAGCTAACTGATTTTGGTTAATGTTCCACAGCTCATCGAGCTTTGGCGTGAACCTTGTAGGGATGAGGAGCTCGAGTAATTCCAGTTAGTCCTTCTTCACTCAACTCAACTCCGTCAGGAGCAGAGAAGGAGAACTTCTGAAGTAACCCAACCAAAAAGAGGAATAACTCCATCTTAGCAAGGCCTTCTCCAAGACACACACGCTTCCCTGAGAAACAAACACACACTTGCTTAAAATCTAACCATGACTACATGATACAGATACACAGAAATCTTTTAAATGCATTTTTTATTGACTTTAACAAACTGATAAGTCAGTGTCACCTTACAATTACAGTTGTCAATTCATCCTTTAGTTATGAGTTTGTAATATTTTTCTTTTACCAAAATAATTACACACAGCATACTGGGTTATAGCTGGACTCTAATGACTGACTTTTTAAGAATAAATGTGAATATTTTTAAGTAAATAGGATTCATATCCATTTCATGGGAGCTTTAAGATACAGAATGAGAGTTTTACCTGCAGAGAAAGGAAGGAATGCTTC